GTGTGAGCATGTAATTGATTTCTCACTTCCAATGTCCCAGGTAGGGAGATACCAACTAGACAGGTAGCTAAAATATTCTTGCTTGGAAAGTTCCAGGTACGAGGCAGCTACATGATATAATGGATGGTGCACTGGACTTGGAGTAAAGAAAACCTGAGTTCAAATGTGGCCTCGGGTACTTGGTAGCTGTGTGACACTAAGCAGGTTACCCTCTCTCTGCCTCAGTTTCCTCAACTATAAAATGGGGATTATATTAGCACCAACTTCCCAAGGCTTTTGTGAGGTTAAAATGAAATATTTGCAAACTTTAAAGTGCTGCATAAATGCTAGCTAGTATTAATCTATAAAAGCTTTCAGAAAAAGGGAAAGCCAAGGACTGACAGGGGTCAAGAAGGGGTGGGGTGGTGATAAGTGCAGAGACATCTTATCACAACAAAGATTATGCCCAGAGGTTTTCAGACTACCATGCTTGCCACACATGACTTTTTTGTTCTCTTTAATCATCATCCCTGTGTGCCATAACCCACAATTATGGAATGAACAGGCTATCAGTGATCTAGGCTAGAAACAGGTGAAATGCCTACAGGTCGTGGGGCCCAAATGGTCTTTGTGGATATTACCATCCTCTAGGGCATTCTGGCTACTCTTGTTTCTTGGCACCCCAAGAGATTATTCCATTAAGCTGTAAGAATTGTCCCCATCATGGACTACAGTGGGTAACCCGTGTAGCGTTTTGGTAGTGTCCAACTTCAAAGCTCTGTTCACATTTTGAGGACCCATCATCTACTTTTTGGTTTGGTCTGCTCTGTTATATCTGACAGAAATGGTCTTTGGAAACTGGAAAACAGCAACATTCTTTTCTATCAGGTGAATGTTGTCTCCTATGGCATTATCAGCTACTCAAGAAAGATCAAGAAATTAATGGAATGCCAGGATTTCAGAGTTGGATGGGACCTCAGTGACCATCTACATCTGAAAGGAATTTCCACTCTAATAAACCCAACAAGTGGTCATCCAGCCTTTGTTTAGGGGCTTCCAGGGAAGGAGAAACCACACCTTCCTGAAGCAGCTGGTTCCATTTGGAACCAGCTTTGATGCTGAGGAAGCTTCTCTGGCATCCAACCTCAGTAAGATTCTGCTGCTTGTGCTGACCTCTAGGACCAAGCAGAGCCCATCCAAGCCCTTTTCCACATGACAACTCTTTATCAACTTGAAGATAGATTTCATGTCACTCTGCAGTCTTCTCTTCTATGATCTAAATGTCTCTGATCTCTTGAACCAATCCTCACAGCTCATGAATTCAAGGTTCTTCCCTATCTCAGTTGCCCTCCATCAGACAATATCTGCAAGGGAACCATGAAGTTGGCTTCACTTTCTCGCATGACTCAGTCAGTCTGAAAATATGGGAGGAAAAGCAGGTCACCTGATCCAGACATAATTCATACAGTGCACAAATTCCAGTTGTAAATATAGCTGCCCGTTAAAGATGTACTCTCTGATACAGAAGCTTCTGAGCTGCCTACATTGTTTCTGTAATAATTGCTCGGTTGAAACTCCTTTGTTTTTTAGTTTGGGAAACATGCTCCAAGTTTTATAAAGTCAGGAGGCCAGATGGCTTCCTTTCCACACACTGATTTGTTCTCACCCTAACAGGAGGAAGTTAATTTCTTACCCTTTTCCTGCATTTGAAAAGTCAGGTTTCCTCCCAGTGAGAACCCAAGTCATTTGAGATGCATGACCAATCTTCTCATGGCCTTTTTATGGTCATTGTATAAGCAAGACCTGCTGATTCTTGGGGTAACTTGGGGTCATTAAGTTATTCTTCAGCACTCTTAAGGGTTACCCAGTGTCATCTAGCACTAACTTGGATCTATATTCTGTTGTGCACAAGACCCTATCTTTCCTACCTGAAGCCCCCCAGATAGGCCCACCATGAATAATCATGAAACATCCTAGCAATGGAGAAAAACATTTACTTAAAATGAAATGCTAGGTTATTAAACCGTCTTCAAGAGAAATCAAGCACCAGATCTGTCTTCACAAACTACTCTTCCCAAATTTCCAAGGAATATGTTACCTGGCACCATGAGTTAGAGGAACAGGAAAACAAAATAGATTTAGGACTCCTTTCTCTCTGCCTTCAGTCATTTGCTACAGCAGACTGGTGAGTTGGGTGCTATGGCAGTGTCCACAACAGCAGCATTTGGGTGCCCTGAGTGTCTTATGATGAAGGATAGACCAACACTTTGGTGAGCACTGCTTCTCAGGAACCCAAATCTCAAGATGTTTTTTTCAGCCTCTGGAATATTTCCCAAGTTCTCTCCCCTTTGAGACTGTGCCCAATTTCTCGCTAAGCACACTGTATATATTACCATCCAATCAGTGGCACAGTGGATAGAGTGACGGGCCTGGAATCAGAAAGATTCATCTTCCTGAGTTCATATCTGGCCTCAGACACTCACTAGCTGTGTGACCCTGGACAAGTTATTTCACCCTGTTTGCCTCATTTTCTTCATCTGTAAAATGAGCTGGAGAAGGAAATGGCAAACCACTCCAGTATCTTTGCCAAGAAAACCCCAATGGGGTCACACAGAGTCAAAGACAACTGAACAACAACAGCTCCCGTCTTCTCATCTACCAATGACAGCACCAGTGTGCACTGCACCATCCACAGGCTTGTGGGGGATGAAGTCCTCCGTACACATCCATGCCAAACCATCTCAAATCGGCCTCAATAAAAGGAAGGCATCGGCAGGAAAATACAATGTATCTTCCCAAGGGAACTTGTGTCCTGGAAGCATTGTAGATGCATCTGCCCTTTCAGCTTCTGACAGACTTTGGAGCCTATAAATTTATGGTTATGAAGAAAAGGGATAAAGGAAACAGCAAAGAGATTTTGCTAAGCTATATAAACCCACATAATGTGATTGGTTTTGTTTCCTTACCACCCTTCTGCCTGGCATCAGGGCCATTGGGCATGAGCTGAGAGAAGATTTCTTTCTGACACTATAGAACCTAAGGCAGATTCATTTATTCACTGACCCCTAACCACAGCCAGTTACTCTGGTTAATCACTGCAGATGCATCATTAAGTCTCTCCTCTCCCTCTGCCTCCCATATCCAAGCAGCTGCCAGGTCTTCTCAGTTTTACCTCTGTATCATCTCTCCCATCTGCCCCCTCTTCTCCACGCACATGGCCAATGCCCTAGCTCAAAACCTGGTCACCCCTTGCCCAGACTCTCATCAGAGCTTCCTAGCTGATCACCCTGGCCGCAGTCTCCAATCCATCCTGCATCAAACCGCCAAGTTGATATTTGTAAAACACAGATCTGACCATGTCACACACTCGAATCCTCACTGGCTCATTTTTTTCCTAGTAAAAAACACAAGTTCTTCATGCTGTACAACTTAAAGCTCTTTGCTGTCCTGGCCTAGAGCCAGCTTTTCAGTCCTGTCCCCTCTGTCCCCCTCCTTGCCCTCTCTGTGTCAGGCACTGGCTCACAAGCTTGCCCTCATACATACCGTTCTCTCTTCCACTTCCTTGCCTTGGCCTAGGTCATTCTCTCTATCTGGAATTCCTTCCCTCCTTGGCCTCTGACTTTTAAAACTCCCCAATGCCTTTAAAGCATAGTTTGGTGGACAGCTTTCACCATGGGCCTTTCCTACTTACCCTGGTTACCAGCTTTCTCTGCTGTTTAAATCACTTTGCATTATTTAACATGTACTTTATAATTACTTTCCTACATAGGTGTTGTATTCCCCTTCCCCCAATAGAATGGCAGCTCCATGAGGTAAGGGATGGTTTTGATTTAGTCTTTGTATTGCCAGCACCTGGAAGAGTACCTTGCCCTTAGTAGAAACTTGATAAATGTGTGGTAAATTCAGTTGAATTGGTAAAATGTTGGTAGAACTAATAGTTAGTTGTAGGTTTTCTCTTATTTAAAGGACATGGAATCTCATGGTTTGAAAGGCCCTCTGAACTCATCAAGGCTACCCTACCCCTGAATTAGAATTCCCCTACAATGTCCCCTCAAAATAAGGGCTCATCTGGATTTTATTGAAAGATTTCTGGTAATGAGGAAGCCTCACTCTTTCCTGAGGGAGCCCCTTCCACTCTGGGATGACCATCCTTGTTAGGAAGTTGTCCTATTATGGAGCCTAAATGGGGCTCTTTGAAAATCCCCCTCCAGGTGCCCGGTTCTGCCCTCTGGGGCCAAGCAGAACAAGTCTGGTCCATCTTCTGCAGTCCTTCCAATGACTGAAGACAGCTTTCCTGTGTCTGCTTCTCCCTTCCTAGAGAAATGAACATTTCTTCCATCCAACCCTTCCCTGACATAGACTGAAAGCCCTTCCCCATCCTGGTCACCCTCTTTGGGACAGGCTTTAGATTTCCAATATCTCTCATGAAATGTCAAAGCAGAAAGCCCAACATGAGAGCATCCAATTGCTAATATAATGTCCACTTGAGTCAGCTGTTTTCTGGGTCTTAGATCAATGTGAGTGCTGAGTTCACTGAGGCCAGTGATGAGTACACAACTCTCATTATTGATGGCACTTAGCGCATCTCTACTAACACACTTTGTTGAGAGTGGAAGGGGTCTCAAAGCCCTGCCAGATCTCCATGACAACACAAGTTGGTTCCTGAGGGTGCTTCCATACACATGTGAAGAAGGAAAATGTGACAGGAATACAATTAGTAGGATAGTGTCCAGTATTGAGCTGCTTATAGCACAGGGGCTGTGCGCTCTTGTAATGTTGGAAGCCATGGAATATTTTCTGTCATTAGAGGAATTATCAGTTAGATCATAATGGCCAATGATTCAAAGACAATAACATGATTCTTCACAATCTTTAGATCCCTCTAGGTTTCCCTTGTAAATCAAGAGTCTAAAATGCCAACCTTCCTAAGCATATGTGGCTATTCCCAGGTAATTATAGACTCTGCAAAATTTCCTCTTGGTTATGAGCTACATCCTTTTTAATTTCTTCTTCCCTTCTAGCCATCACTTGTCGCAAGCAAGATGGAGGACAGGCTGATGTCAGTGAATGCCTTCAGTACGCAGGCCCCTTACCAGCACTAACTCAAGCCTGCCAGATCCCATGCTTAGATGACTGTCAGTTCACCAGCTGGTCCAAGTTTTCTTCATGCAATGGAGATTGTGGTGCAGTCAGGACCAGGAAGCGATCAATTGTTGGTAAGAATTTCCAGGAAACTCAAATTCACTTTCATCAAGGTTGGAAAACCCAAGGGAGATGGAGAAAGCCAGATGCAGAGTCCTTGCTGAACCCTTGATATGTGACTGAGTGTATATAATTGTTCCGGCTTCTTGAAGTAATTTCAGCAATTTACCTGGACCTCTGTTTTCATGGAGGTCAACAGCCCTGAAAGGTACTAGCATATGAGTTGTTAAAAAAATAGAGATCAATCTGATTTCCTACATAACATGTGGCACATGATTTTTTAGGTGGAAAACAAGGTAGTGAGAGGAGAGTGTGTCTGTGAATCTACTCAGAGTATGTGAAATCCTTACCGAGCTAGAACATAAATACAAAGCTAGAGCAGGGATTTCAACGTGGGGCTCCTGACCCTTCTGGCATCCCATATTGCTCACCCACAACTAGTCCTGCCTCCATCTTTGCTTTTCCCTGCCTTCACATGGTCAAGAAACTAGCTCAGAGTTCCTAATCATGTGACTGGACAAATTAAAAAGAAGCCACCCCACCCAAGAGCCAGGAAGACCTAAAGAAGGACCTTGTTGCCATAAGGTCTGGAATGGCTGGTTTCATTACAATGGCCAATAAACCAATATTATAGGATTTGAGACCTAGGGCTGGAGGGGCCCCTGAAGAATTCTAGTCCAACCTTCTAATTTATAGATGAGGATCCTGGAGGCTCTACATATACAAATCCCTATATCTCACAGCTACTAGAGGCTAGTACTAGATCTTAGCAGGTTGAATTATTTTACACTTCTGGGGAGTTTTTATTTTATTTTGTCTGCTTTGAGGGAAAATAGATGGAATTCTCCCCAGAGTGTTACAGCATCTAGTGTTTCTCTTCTATTCTTAAATCAATCTTTCTTGAATGTAAGACAATGTCCTGGCCAAAGGTGGGACCCAGTGAGAAAGCACAGCCAGCTAATTAGTGTTCAGAAAGGGAGGGGGCACTACAGGACCCAAAAGGAAGTAGGAAATCCCAGCCCTCTCAGCCTGGATCACAGCTGCATGCGAACACACACATGGGTCAGCAGCCGACCCCCTCATCCCTATCAGCAAGAGAAGCATTCAGAGCACTGCACTGCTGGTCTTTCAGTGAGTGGAAGCCGGGGGGCAGAGGGCACGATTTAAGGGTCTCCATCATCAGTGCAAGGCTGGCATCACCACAACAGAGTTTGTCCTTTGTACAATGAGGGCTTTGTGAGCTGGCAGCGAGACACTGGACACGATATGGGCAAAAACTGGTACAGGAAGGATTGGGGATGGGAGAAGGCACCTATTTATAGTTATGGCTCAGAAGGAAATTGGGGCCAAAAGGAAGCAGAGGAGGCCTTGGGAAAGCAGCTGGCCACCTTCCGGTCAAGTTTCATTCCAGAGCAGCACATGCTTACTTGTCACCCGCTGCGTGAGCAGCCCTGCGGGTGACGATGCTCAACTTACATGCTTGTAACTTCTCTTCTGCAGGAAAAAGTAAGAAGAAAGACAAATGCAGAAATTCTCAGCTCTACCCTCTGATTGACACCCATTTCTGCCCTTGTGACAAGTACAATGCCCAGGCTGTGGGCAACTGGTCAGACTGCATCTTACCTGAAGGCAAAGTGGAGGTACTTCTGGGTATGAAGGTGCAGGGTGACATCAAGGAGTGCGGACAGGGCTACCGGTACCAGGCCATGGCGTGCTATGATCAAAACGGCCGGCTCGTGGAGACGTCCCGCTGCAACAGCCACGGTAACCTAGATTCTAGCGAGCTTTATACAGTCCTTTTAAAACAATAACAGACCCTAAAATTTCATTGATGTTGGGAACACCCATTGAGGAAGCTCCCCCTACCAATAGCAGACCTTCACCTGCTCTGTATCTCAGAGCCTTAGGGAACTGCCTAAAAATGGAGTGTGCAAGTGACTTACCCTGGATCACAAAGCCAAACTAGAAGTCTGAGGTCAGCTCCAGGCTCTGAGGCACTGCACTGGGCCTGTGCTCATGACTTCACATAAATGTCCATCCTCATGTCCGCAAGTGGGTATAAGGCTAGGCCTGAGGTGCTGCTGCTGCAGGGAAGAGTATAAATGCATGAGTAGCCCAGGGCAAGCTTCTCTGCCAGGTCAGAGGTTGGAGAGCTCTCTCCACATTCCTAAGGGATGTGACTGTGGCCAGGGCTCTGCCCTCAGGGATGCCCAGGAGATGGGAAGGATATGGCCCCCTGGACAGGGGAAGGAGGACCACCCAAATCCACTCTCCTGCCCTTTGCCCAGTGCTCCACCCCAAGGGGTAGTGAGTCCTCCTGTGATCCATCAGCCAATCAGCCCCCACCATTAGCATGAGTTATAATCACATCATTCCCTGTGGTGACACGTGGGTTAGGCTAATGGAGAGAGGCAAGCAACTGACTGTGCGCTCCATAAGGGCTGCCTCAGGAGCTGGCAGACCCCTCGTAAGAGGCCTCCTGGCAGAGGTGGCATGACCACTTGTCAGGGGTGCGGTACAGGAGAGTCGTGAGCAGGGAGAGTTTTGACAAGAGCCCTCCACAGTCGTTCTAACTTTGGGATTCGGGAGTCAGAGGACACCAGGGAAGTCTCAGTTCAGTCACTTGTGAGAAAGGCATTTCTGATGCTAATTGGATTTAGAATCTTCTTGCAGCAGGTTGGCAACTCGCAGACAATCCCAGAGCACCCAGAAGCGAGGATGTGGCAAGGGCTGGCTTTTAGTGTAGGGAAAATGCTCCAGATAAATAATTCTATGAAAGAAACATGAGCCCTACAGAAGAGCCACGCCATTGCATGGAAGATGGGGCTGGGGCACCCAGGTGTGGGACAAAAGATCTGGGCCTTAGGCTACAGGGACTCTGCTCTGGTAGGAGCTAAGCAGAGCGAACCTTCTCAGCACCCTTATCCAATGAGGGCCTAAGGCACCCCAGCAGCCCATGGCTTCGAAGTAGGGATGGCCATACAGCGAGCAGGCATTCAGAGCTCCTTTGGGCAGAAGAAATAAGTTTGTTTCTGATGCTGAACTTGGCTGTCCTTTGAACGTGTGACCTGCCACACGCCTAAACGGAGACAAGGCTGCTTTCAGAACAGGTCTCCAGCAAGTGTTTTCATCAGGTCTTCTAAAGACCGGGGAAAATGTGAATGGCTAAGACTGATCCCCAGACAGCCAGAACTCATCAGCATATCCTCTCGGCATCTGACAGACTTGAGGAAAGAAAACAGAAGATAGCTGCTTTATGCTCTGGTGGGGAAAAGAAGCCCACAGTTTATTTACTGCTCTGCTCATTAAGCCCAGCATTAGTTAATGAGTTCCTTTCGGGACTCATGTTAGCTCCTTCACTGGAATCTCGATTCATAATCCCCAGTGCCCTGAGAGGGGCGGCTCTGAGCACCCTCTGCCTGGACGTCGTTGTACCGGGATGAAGACGTATGTCCCATGCTGATGGAGGTCACGTTCCATGGCCTCGTTCGTGGAGCCAGTTTCTACCATCAAGACCTTGGGCTCAACTAAATGGCACGGATAGTTCGTCTAATGCCTTCTTGGCGAGAGATTTCCCATTAGCATTAATTACAGGAGAGGCATTGATTGGGGCCGAGTCTCCAGTGTATCCTCCCTGACCACGCGGTTTATAGAGATTAGAGAGGCATGCTTGTACATTAGGGGATAGTTTTAACAGCATCTGCTGGAAGCAGAGCTGCAACCAGGGAGGGGCAGCGGGTGGTCAGCATTAAGGCACCGAATTTAAAGGGTCCTTCAGCCTACCAGGAACACGCACGCTGTGTGTCTGGCAGCAAGAATAAGAAAGAGGAAGCCAGCAAGTGGGAGACAGCGCCTCCGCTGCCTTCCTTCCCTCCTTACCCAGGAGTCCGTCCCGCCCCCAAACCTCCTAGAACTGTCTCCGGAGGTCTCCGTGTCTTTCCCAGCACAGAGTCTGCCCCCACCAGGTAGATTTTTACCCCTCCCCCTCCCTGGTAGGGTTTGGCCCATCGAGCCTCAGTGTAAAAGCTCCTGTTGTGGCTCTGCCTGGGCCAGCTAGAGATTCTAAGAGGCTCCTGCTTCTGTCTTTGGTCACATAGATCCTGGTGCACAAAGGGGGCCTTGGCTCTACAGCTGCCTGCGACTCGGAGGAGTTGCGGGGTGACCCTGCTTCTGACCGTTCTCATGGGCATGGAACTACAGGGTGGATGTGCCCAAAGTACGCAGTCTGCTGTCCCTGGGGGCAAACAGCTCAGTCTCCTACAAACCGTCCTCCTCATGCAGAATTCCTCCCCCAGGCATAGGATTAACACCCTGCTGGACTCTTGTGGCCAAAAAGTATCTAGAGTTTTGCAGTGGTCATCTTTAAGAAACTGGCAAAGGAGGCATTCGAAGGAGAGCTTTGTGCGAATGCAGCATTGCAGAGGCGGGGGGCTATGGATGTGGAATGGTGTATACAATGCCAGACTTTTTCAATGTGTTGGTTAGTTTTGCTGAGCTGCCTTTTTTTCTTCCTTTTTTATTCTTTTTATAAGGAATGACTCTCTGGGAGAGATGAGAAATCTACAAGGTGTAAAGTCAAAAGATATTGTTATAATTTTATTTTTCAACAATCAAGGCCAAGAAGGAGTGAAGGCATTGCTCAATTTTCAAGCCAATTGTATTCCAAAAGTTCACTTTTGAGTCAGCTTCTTAGAACTGGAAATGTATTCTTCTGTGGTAACAATGTCATAAATTGTGATTTCATCTCCTAGCAATTCTACAGGAGTCCCTAGAACATGAAATGTAGCCAAAATACATGTATGATTTTGTTTTATGTAGTGGAAAACAGCACAGTTGTGATGCTTGTGATCAAATAAGTAGAAAAAAGCACAACTGAACAAGAAATGATTGATAAGGGTTCTGAGTGCGGGGGCTAGAAAGGAAACAGGCTAACTTAGAGGAAGAGGGAAATCTGTGGACATTTTGGAGAGGAATTCTAAGGATTTTCAAGGCCCTCCCAGCCAAGGCCACCAGGTGGTTTTTGTGTCCAGGTTCACTTCAGAACGTGCAGTGAATCCCCAGCGTGATGCTGGTGCTGCAGGTAACATCTGAGGTCTTCGGCTCTCAAGTGGAACAAGATGGGGAGAGAGGTAATGAGAGAGGAGGCTTGCCCGAGATAAGAGGGGAAAGGGTGAAGGAAGAAGGCGAAAGAAGACAGGAAAGAGGGCCGTGTTTGTATCGCTGAAAAAGAGCTTGCCTCTGGGGCTGAGCTGAGCTGTGAATATTGGAAGAGGAGAAAGGGGGAAACATCATTGGCAAATCCCCCCCCCCCACGGGCGAAAGAAAGGAGGTGGGGTAGATGCTAGGTGAAAGCGCTTCCTGTGCTGACTTGCATTTTCCAAATTTGGTCCTAGGCTTGAGAAGCATCTGGTGTTATCAGCTGATGGTCCTGTCATTGTTTGGGGAGGGTGTGAAAGGTTTTCTCAGTGCAGAAGAGGGTCCTCAAATGTTGTGGCTGAGGTCGATGGCCCATAATTACACTGCTTTCCTCAAGCCTTCAGAGCATGTCTTTAAGAGTCGGCGACACGACTGTCATTCACAGGCTTCCCAGGCAGTTCTAAATGGAAGAGAACATGAAGTCTGTTGGGTTTTATATTTTGTTTTCAGATGTACTTTGCAGGTGAGATGAGCATGTAAGTCCAGCATTGCCCATGCCTCTGAACTTATCATGTAAGTTAAAATCGATGAACAATCAGGTCAGTAACTTTCACGAGCACATTAAACTTAATTTTAATGCTCCAACAAGGCTGTGATCGATGGGTATTCACTTCAGTGAAGCAGATCTCAACCCATCCATGCCAACCCATCCTGGACAACTTCTATCCATGTGGTCCAAGAAGCTGACCCCAAGAGATCCATCCCTCAGGCCCTCAGGAGCTCCCTCGTGTTCTCTAAATATCCACAGTATACAAGTGGAGCCCACCGGCTCTCCACCAGCTAACCCTTTGGTTCTTCTATGCAACCAGCCCACCTTCTTTTTCAGTCATGGAGAACACATTTCCCTTATCCTGAATTAATGAATTTGCCATTTCTCTCCCATCCCAGTACAGACTATTCAGTAGCACGTACCTGCTGATAGAGCTCAGTCAGCCTTCCTCTGTACAACAACACACCTCTAAGCCTAACTCAGCGAGCTGCTGCATGGAGATTTGGTTTTTGGCCATTCACATCTCCGGAGCCAGCCCGACTCTACCTTATTTGGCCTGACTGTGTGAGGAAACGAAGCCGTTTCCAGACTTTATCACCCACACATGTCTGGAAACAGGCCAAAAAGAGAAATCCAGCACTTTTTTATTAACTTGAAATTGCTTCGTATCAATTCCAAAAATGAACTTACATTTATTACTGAGCCACCTGAGGCTCTGGAGTATCTTCTGATCACGTTTCTGTGGTCTGGAAAGCATGCAGGCTTTCCTGTGGCCAGCATTCATCACCAAGGAATTGGGAAAGCTACAGATCAGGAATGTGGTTTGATGCAAATGCACCCTCAAAGTAAAGGCTCCTGTTTTAACCAACTTAGTTCATGCTCCTAGGGCATGTTGGCCTTTTATTGACTGGGCAAAAGGGAGGCAGGGTTCTCTCCTTGAGCCCTGTGGTCCTCCTCCGGGAACTGGATCTGAGGGAAAGTAGACGCTGAGGCATCTGTCCCTGGGAGGCCCCAGAGCCCCTCTAGTGGAGAGAGAATTTGGAGAAGAAAGTCAATAACTGAGCAAACCACATTTGTCCATCCATCTCCAAGAGTGGAGGGAGGTTGGAATAATTCACTTTGCAGGCTTATGGGCTGTTGGGTTTTCCACTTTCTTAACATCCACATCCTACAGATATGCAGTTTGGCATGTCCAGGCAGTAAATAAATATACAAATGAGGACCCGCAATGCTACCTCCCCCCAGCTCACCTTCATTGTCAGATAGGGGAATGCCATCCGTAAAATCTCAGCTCCAGCTGAGGGGCAGCCACCACACACCTCTGGGACCAGTTGTGGGCATGAGCTTGCCTCGTTTTATAGATGAGGGGACCATGGCTTACAGAGATCCAGGGGCTTGCTCAGAGCTATGCAGCGAGGGTGTGTCAAAGCCAGTACCTGAATACCGGTCTCCGGATTCCAAGGCCACTGCTCTGCCCACTGCACCACACTACCTCTCATTTGACTTGGCCCAGGTGGATCAAAGTGAATCTGTTTCCTTAGGCCCAGTGGCAGTCCAAGACAAATAGCTGGTGAAAGTGTGAATTTCTTGTGCAGATAACAAGTGGCTCACACAAATCTGAAGAGGTCTTTCTTAAATAGTGTCTTTCTCCAATATCTTGATGGCTGTCACACTTTTAATACCCTTGACCAGGGCAGACAGCAGTACCCCCACACCTACCCATCCTGAGTGGCTTTTGTACTCCCAGACACCATCCACAGGGGATCTGGGAACCATAACTGAGGTTCTGAATATTTGGTAGACCCTTGGGCAGCAGGTGGGTTGCATCTCTGCTGTCCCTCATTCACCCTGCATGGCCATCGCATCTCCTGTCCCCATCAAACCTTTATTTAACGAGCTTTTATTCTGCTTCTTAGGAATGAGTCATGATCAGTCCCATGTCTTCCCAGACATTCACTTGATTTCCCAGAGGGCCTTGGGGTCACAAAGAAAGAGAACAAGGCAGTTGCCTCTCTTTCTTAAAAGACGCCATTGTGAAAGTCTCAGGACTACCTGACTCTTTTCATTTTTAACAGTAAGACTTTGGGTAAATATCTTAATTATCACGGCACACGGCTCGCTAAGTTTCTGGACTGAAAATGCCTGAATCCTAAAGAATGTTCCGCTTATAACTTAAAAGAAGCAACATGAGGTTGTGTTTGTTTGGGGTGAGCCCAGTCAGATGCAGATAGAGTGGGATGCTTCTCCTTTGCCTGGCTCCTGGATTCCTGCCTTCTGAGTATTGTAAGCATTGACTTCAGTTCAGATTCGAGGCTCAGGATGCTTCATTTCTATGATTCGTGCAGATGTTTTAGATAAAGTGACCCATAGTCTCCCCGGCGCTGCCATGGGTCAAACAGCCTGGCGGAGCCCGCCTGCCTTAAGTGAATGTTGTCATCTTCCCTTCCATGAGCGTGGTTGTATCACTTGACCAGGGGCTGGAAGTTGCTTAATTTACACATTCACAATTCACATGAATGAGGCTTTGGACAGACCTCGAAGGCACAATGTCCTCTGAGTGCCTCCTTTACATGGGTCTGATTCAGGGGAAGGTCAGGGACCCTATTCAGGTAAAAGCTTTTCCTAGTGCGCCAAGCTAGAAGACCTCAGGGCGCTTGTCAGCAGCCTCATGAGGACGCCACCGCCTTCCTCTGATCCCACCCCAGATAACTCCCCCACTTCTGTCTTTGACTTCAAAAACACTCCCAGCATGCCTGTATCTTTTGGCTACAGACCTGGAAGAGACACTCTTAGTACAACACCTGCTTCATGTTAACAACAACAGCAACTGGTATTTGAGTAGCCCTTTAAAGTTTGCAAAGTGCTTTACAAATAATACCTAAAATTTACAAATTTTACCCTCCCAACAACCCTGTGAACTAGATCCTATTATTATCATTCCCATTTTATAGATGAGAAAACTGAGGCAGATAGCAGGTAAGTGACTTGTCCAGGGTTACACAGCCTGTAATTATTTGAGGCTAGATTTGAGTTCAGGTCTACCTGACTCTAAGTCTAGTGCTCTATTTATTCTGACACCAGGCGATATGTTACAGTGGAGGAAACTGACCCCAGGGAAAATTAAGTGACTCGCTCAAGGTCTCACACAGAGTAACCATCAGAGGTGAATTTTGAACCCAGGTTCTCTGACACCAGAGCCAGTCCAGAGCCACAGTTCCCACTGTGCCCCACTGAAAAGGCAGAGGACAGTGGCTCTAAGTGGGCACACTCCACCTCTGAGGGCTTTTCGGGATACTCAGTAAACATGAAAGCCAGGTGTTGAAGCTTGACCCATGGAAAAAGCCAGCATTGGTGCTCAGCCAGAGTCTCTCTTCCCCTTCCCTTCCCTTTAGATGCCTCATTTGCACCTGTTTGTATTTTAACCTGTTGAGTAAGAGTCGATCTGGCTTCCTAAGTTTCATGTGAGACAGTCAGGCTTGCCTGAGAGTGACCAGTGCCCACCGAGTTGGGCTGCCTTGGGCTTTAATGCTCTCTAACATTTCTCCAGCACTTGCATTCCTTCGTCTGAGAATCACTGCGCCCACTTTATAAATGAGGAAATTGAAAGTTAGGTGAAATGACTTCAGTTCATACAGCTAATGGCAAAGTCAAGACTCTAGGTTCTCTGAGCCTGGGTCCTGTACTCTTTAAAAGCATAGCAGCCTTTGGGTCCTGCAGAACTGCTTTATTTTTCTTGATTACTGGACAGGTTCTTTAATGACGCTGCTTTGAAGGACATCACTTTGGTGGACTAACTTGTGTCTTAAAACTTCACAGAAAGGACTGAATACTGTAATTGCTACTGACACAAAGCTGGGAGGGACAGCTAGCACACTGGAGGAGACAGGATGAGAGGCCAGAGCATCTGGCTGAATCTAAGGAGACAAAATTCAGCAGGTATAAATGTAAGGTACAAGTACCAGAAATCAACCTCCTGAGTCCAAGATGGAGCAGCAAGTCTAGACAGCAGAGGTCTTGAAAAAGATCTGGGGGTTTTAGCGAGCTACAAGCTCAAAGATGTATCAGTATTCTGTGGTGGCAAAAAAAAAAAAAGGGAAAAAGGGGAAAAAAAGCTAATGGGCCATTGAGCTTCATTAAGAAGCTAATGGAGAAGGCTTCCAGAATTAGGTAGGGACGGTCCCTCCCACGGGGCTCTGCTCTGCTCTCTCCAGATCTTATCTAGGAGATTAGTGCTCAGGGCTGAGCACCACTAGCTAAGGCCTTTGGAAAGCTGCAGATTGTCCAGAGCAGGTGCTTGGGTCCAGGTCACATGAGGAGAGGTGGCAGAGAGTGGAGGTGTTTGCCCTGGACAAAAGGAGGCTAAGAGGGAACATGGTATCTATCTCCGAGTGTTTGAGGGGCTGGCTTTGGAGAAAGGCTTAGACTTTCTCTATTTAGCCCCAAGGGACCAAACTAAGATCAGTAGGTGTGAGGATTTGGCTGGTTGCCAGGAAAAGCTACCTAGCCAAAAGAGCCGTCCCTAGGTAGGATCAGCTGTCTCCAGAGGTGGTAGGCTCCTCCTTTCAGGGGTCTGTCTGGAGGAGCACACAAGTAGATTCAGGGTGGGGATTCCATCTGTGAATGGGTTGGACTCCCCAGCCAGTGAAGTATCTTTGAGCTCTGAAATTCTGTGATTCTAGGACACTTTTGTGTGACCTCAGTCAGGTCATTTTATTTCTCTGAGTCCCAACTTCCTCATCTATCAAATAAGAGGACTGCACTAGAGTCTCTCTAAAGTCCCTTCTGGCCATAAACCTCTCATCTGAAAGAGAGCTGGCCTCAGTCAGGGAAGACCTGAATTCAAATCTTACCTCTGACATTTAGGAGCAGTGTGACCCTGGATAAGCCACTTCATCTGCTGTTGCCTCTTCCTCCTCAGTTAAATATGAATAATGATACCAGTAGCACAGATTCGACTGGGTTATTGTGACGCTGGAATGTGAGAAGGCACCTTATGGGCTTTGTTCTCCTTCAAGCTTTATGTAAATATCAGCAATTACCATCACTCCTCCCGTGATTAATGAGAGTCGTGCACATGCTTGGACCGGTTACCAGCACTAGAAACACGGAAGATGGTATCACCATTAACTGGCTTTGCCACGTTCTTTCTTAAGTATTGGCTGTCTAGGCTAGAGAGGACCCAGGCTAGGTGGGTCTTTGTGGATAGTGATTGGCATCCGCCAGCGTCTTGTCTCGAAGAAGCCCTCCCTGGACTTGGGTGACATACCCTGATGGGATTTCAGAGTAAAATGGGCTGCACATGTTTGGTCTAAAACGTCTCATTCCAGTAACTTGAGAAGAAGGTGGCAGGAGATGGGTTATTGTCAAGTAAATGTGAGCTGTAGGAAAGTGAGAGAGGCTGGAATCCGGTGGGCACGAATCCTCAGCAGGCAGCATTGCAGACACTCATCTGTTGTTTTAACACTGTCTCTGTACGGCAGTGTCATTTTCCTATATACTTTAATTTGCGGTTAACAATGAAGAAATCACCGCATTTCTATGCTTCTCTCCAGCCAATCCCTGAGCCCTTTAAATGAAAGAGAAATTGTCAAGCAGAATACACAAGGTTTTTGTGTTTGCTTGCTTTCCCTCTGCTCAGGTTACATTGAGGAAGCCTGCATCATTCCCTGCCCCTCGGACTGCAAACTCAGCGAATGGTCCAACTGGTCTCGCTGCAGTAAGTCCTGCGGCAGCGGAGTCAAGGTTCGCTCCAAATGGCTTCGAGAGAAGCCGTACAACGGCGGACGCCCCTGCCCCAAGCTGGATCATGTTAACCAGGTGTGTATGCGCCGGCGCGGTTTTCAGTGTCTGCTCAGAATCCAACTGAGCCCCCATGGCGAAGCCCACTCCCGTCTTCTTTACTTTGCTACAAAGTGGAACTGAGAAAATAGCGGTCCCCCTCCTAAGCTGATGGCCAGCGTGGTGCTGGACACGTTTGACTGAGTTGTTACCGGAGTCCATTGCAAACAGGTAGAGACCCCCTAAAAGTATCACAAGAGTTATGTGAGACACTTTGGGCGATTGCACAGGACGGACAGTCTAATCTTTCAAGCGTCCCTTGAGTCTCCGTCCCGCAGATGGGTCGTGGGGCATTACCTCCCGTACTCCAGGGCTGCTCTCCACCTCTTAATGGAATGGAATCAAGGGGAAATGATGCGCACAAGGGGGCGGGGAGGCGTCCTTCTCCCAGGGGACTCAGGGGAGCGGGAGCCCCCTCCTCCTCCCTGCTGTGCCCGCTCTAAGTCAGTCTTTAACTTCTCAGATGACTAACCCTACACTGGGAGCCTGTTGGTTTGGGGATGCAGCTCTGCTGCCACCTGCTGGTAGCCAGCCTGATTTCTTACAGGGTTGGGCTCCTTTCTAAGATCTTCATAGAGATCAATAAAGCTGAATGGGTGGGTCTTGGGATAGTCCCCATGAAAGGGAGCCATCCTGTCCTAGAGCCAAGGCTTAGAGCATCAGGCCCAAGCAGGACGACCAAGAGGAGCCATCAGTGCCGGAGAGAGGCCCTGGCTCTGTCCCCAACATTACTGCGGCTCCAGAAGCCTTCAGCCTCTCCCAAGGCCCCAGGATGATTCCCACTACCAGGCGAGCCTCCCAGCAAGAGGATTGAGTCCTGTTAACCCTGTGTGTATGTGAGTGTGTCTGTTTGTATGAGCATTCACAAGCACAGACAGAGAAATAAAAGCCATGTGCAGGAAAGCAGCATAAATACATCTATAAACTGAAAATACTGGATTTGGGGTCAGAAGTACTGAGTTCAAATCCCAGCTCTGATGCTCCTCCCCAGGTGACTCTGGATCACTCATCCAATGCTCTCATCAGCGACAGTTTTGAGTCTTTGATCTTAAGAACATTGCCCCCTTATCCAATGGCATGGTTGCCCTGGAAAATCAACTAGCCCATCCATCCATCCACGCATCCATCCATCCATCCATCCATCCATCCATCCACGCATCCATCCACGCATCCATCCATCCATCCATCCATCCATCCACACATCCATCCACGCATCCACCCATCCATCCATCCACGCATCCATCCATCCATCCATCCATCCATCCATCCACGCATCCATCCATCCATCCATCCACGCATCCATCCATCCATCCATCCACGCATCCATCCATCCATCCATCTATCCATCCATCCATCCATGCATCCATCCATCCATCCATCCACGCATCCATCCATCCATCCATCCATCCATCCATCCATCCATCCATCCATCCATCCTTGCCCAGGGCCCAGCTGCTGTTTGACCCCTGGCCAGACACTTATTTTAAAGGCAATATTGATGGGTTAAGATACCAGCTCATCAAGAGACTAGCCAGAGAAAATAACGGTTGTTAGGACATCTAGTGCTGTTGATAGTTGATAGAACAGTCCTCCCCCAGCAAAGTACCTAAAGGTTCTTGTAAAATCAAAAGAGGAACTTGGAGAATTGACTGGTAAAGCATCATCTGCAAAGGTCTGCTTTCCTTCTGCCTTGACATTTATAATTGCTAATGATACCTTTGTACCAAAATTACACATTCCTCAGCAAACTACTCTTGAGGCCCACTTTGCTGGGAAATGGTCTGTGGGGAGCCTGGTTTCCCACTCAGGCAGTATTTCCTGAGTCTGAATCCCATCCTGGGACTGGCCAGCAGCGCAGGCTCAACGTGCAGGTTACTATGGGGATTTTAGGCGCTCTGGTCACGACCCTTGGCTCGTGCTGAGCCCTTGGCTTGGCTCTCAGGCTGCTCCACTTCCCTCTTGCGTGGGCCAGTCTCTCTCCTTGGTGACCCAAATTCCCTAAGGCAGCTGATAGCCAGGAGTGTAACTGACTTTGGAGCAAGAATCAGGTGCTGTCCTCCAGGGCCTGGGCTGGAGTGCTTGCTGTTGAGAAACAAAGCAAACTGCTCCCTACCCAGCCCCAGCCCCATCCCCATGATGTTTAATGCATCTTGTAGGCTGGCATTGCAGGAAAGAGTGTGAGACTGGGAGTCGGGAAAGATCCAGGTTCACACTCCACCTTTAACTTTCTGAATCAGGGGAAGATAATTCACACATGGCTAAAGGGATCAAGAAGAGGAACAGAACCCCACCCTCTCAGGCAGCTACTTTGCCTCTCTGGGTCTCAGTTTTCTCATCTCTAAAATGGAGATAGGACTTACAATGTCTAGTAGGGCTTTGATGAGGCTTAAATAAGACACTGTGTAAAAGTCACAGAAAAGTAAGAGGCCATCGATGTGTTTGACTTTATGCCCCTACTGTGGCTCCTTCACTGACGTGTCTCTCTGTCTCTGATTTTTCCTCCTTCGCTGAACAACATCACCTCCCCCAGGCTCAGGTAAGAGTCTCTGGAGCTGCCGCTGCCTGTTCTGTTCTCCCCTTTTCTGAGTCTTGGCATGTTTGTCCCGGTTCTGTGCTCTTTCCTTTCCATCTTGGGGTGCGGGTGGGGGGCAGGCTGGTGACACTGACACCAGGGGTGGGGAAGAGGCTAAAAACCACCTCAGTCATTCCCATCCTCAGCCCGCCTACGCCTCCACCCTCCTGCTGCCTGCTGCTGTGGCTGGGGGAGCTCGGAGGAGGAAGGAGTGCAAGGGGGTCCTGAGGAGTCTGGCCCCAGTCGGAGGTGGGTGAAGGAAGCAGAATGACGCACTCATTGCATCCTCCCTTCCCTCAAGCCCAGCACAAACAGCAGTCTCTGTCTTTCGTGTTTTCTTTCATCTAACTGGGGACCCAGTCTTTAAAGTGAATAACGTCACATTCTGGTCTGAAAGGTTAGGTGGAAGATCCAGAAACTCCAAAGACCAGCTCGAGGTTGCTGATGGGGAGGCTTCTGGTAGGGGGAGGGGAGCAACATGGGAAACGCCCATTGGGTAGGGGGAACAGTGTGCAGGGTGGGGCAGGGGAGCTTGCCTCATTACGCTGAAGGATGGCCGGTGCTGTCAAGCCCTCTGAATTCAGCATCCTCTGAATTTGGCGCCCTGGGACAAAGCTCTGTTTGCCCCACCCTGATTATGCCTCCACTGGGCTCTGTCTGGGCTATGCAGTAGAGTCACGACCACTTCCTACTGTTCCCTTTAGACTTTGGTCTTCGTATGTGCACAAAAATGAACCTGTAAAAGGCTTTTGCTTGTTTTTCACTAGTAATGTCATGTCAACAAGTGCCTCCCCCAAAGACAAAAGCCCCCACACATACCGTGGTGTGGGAAGCTGCCTAAGAAGGAGCCCATGTGGCTCCAACCCAGCATTTCCTGTCTTGGGGATTCTGGGACCAATGCTTCCATTCCCTGCTCACTGTTCCCTTTAGTAAGCATAGGGTTCAAGCCACCAATCCCCAGAGGACAGCGATGGACCACCAGTGCGGGCAGGCAGCAGCACAGACGCCTTGGATGCTGGGACAGGGAAACTGAGGCAGGCAACGAAACCTTCCTACCACCTGAGGGAAAGTAGGGGAGGAAGTTTGCCTCCCCCCACCTTGCCTTGCCTTTTGGTGGAGAGGGGAAAACTCCTTAGCCCTCATTGCCTCATGGTCCAGCAGCTCTGCCAAGCTGAAGAGAGGACAGCCTTCAAAGCCGGAAGAAGCCGGAATGCCAGCCCTCTAGGGACAGCATCGTTAGGCCTTCGGTGTTTAGCTTAGCAGAGGTTGGTCGACTCATAGCCAAAGCCTGGTTGTGGCCCAGATGTGGAAAGTGTACGAGACAAACCCTTTGTCAGCAAATGTGGATAATTCCATGCACATCCCCAAGCTGGTAACACAGATCCATCCCAGCTAAACAGAACCACATTGCCTTCCCCCTGCATTGGCCTCATGGTGGGAGGGGGACAGGGTATTCTCTCTTCTCTCCTATCTGTCTCTCACCCATCTGTCTCTGTGTGTTCCTCTATCTCTGTCTCTCTGTGTGTCTGTCTGCTCTATCTCCGCTTCTCTCTCCTTCCCACCTTAGCTGCTTCATCCCTCCTTACAGGCAGTGGTGCATTCTCATCCCCTGCTGCTCTCAGAAATCCCATCTCAGCTGCAGCTTCCTGCTCACTCACCCTGGGGAGGCCGGGAAGCCCCACTCACCGAGCTCCCCCTATGTTCCAGGTGTATGAGGTCGTCCCCTGTCACAGTGACTGCAGCCAGTACATATGGGTCAGTGAGCCCTGGAGCGTCTGCAAGGTGACTGTGGTGGACATGAAGGAGAACTGTGGAGAAGGAGTGCAGACCCGGAAAGTGAGGTAAGGCCCTTGGCAAAGAATCCTCTCCGAGCACGCCCAAGAGGGCGGCTCACTACAGACCCCTGGCTGCCCCGCCAGACCTTCCTCTTGGGGCTGAGTTCCAGGGACTCTGAGAGCGTCTGCCTGTGACTGTGAGGCTTTCAGCCCCTGACGGATCTGGGCGGACGAAGGCATAGTCGGACGTGCGTGTCTGATCGGGGACGGCCTCAGTAGAGTGGCTAGAGGTCATGGGCAGGGGGACAGATCCGTGTTCTCTTCAGCCCTCTTCTGATGTGGCGGTCACCCCTGCTCATGGAGTACGGGTGCTGGCAGGTCACACAAAGGTGACAGATGGCCGGCCGTGCTGCCCAAGCAGCCCTGCCAATTTGGGAGAGGCAGACAACTGGCCCTGTAGGTTGACACCGGGAGCCACAGCAGATTCCCCGAAGTGTGGAGGGAGTAACCACCAACATGGCTCTTGTAAAGTGCCAAAGGGATTAAGGAAGTGGATGGGACCATGGAGCTCTATGGGCAGCGACCTGAGAGGCATATCCCTCCCCCCATTTTACCATTGAGGAAATGAAGACACAGGCAGATGGAGTGACTCATCTGGGTCACATAGAAAGTAAGCTTCGTAGGTAAGATTTGAACCCAGAGTCCAGAGCTGTCTCAACTGTGTCTCCTTAACCCTCTTTCTTCTCAATCCATCTTCAGTATGGAAAAATAATTCGTCACAAACCACTGAATCATAAAATTTTGCATATTGGAGCATGGTACGTTTACCCAACAAATACTTAGTAAGCATCGACTCTGGGCTGCACAACCCGGCACAGTGTGACAGTGCATTGCACCTGGAAGGAGGAAGATGTGAGTTCAAATCCCCTCTTATATAGGAATTAACTCTGTGGCCCTGGGCAAAGCACCTAACCCCAGGAATGCCTTTAACACTGACCTCCTGGGGCGGGGAGCCCCACTGGTCAAGTGACTGGCCCGAGGCCACACTGCTAATGAGCTGAGGAGGCTTTCCCCAGCCGTGGGTTTTAGCGATGCCCTGGGGCGCTTGGGAGTTTAGAGGAGTCATTCTTCCCATATAGCCCAAACAGTGCAGGGGCAGCTCGATGGTGTGGCAGATAGAACACAGAATCTGGAGTCAGGGAGACCCAAGTTCAAATCTGGCATCATATGCTTGCCAGCTGTGTGACCCTGGGCAAGTCACTTCACCACTCTCTGTCTCAGTCTTCTCATCTGCAGAATTAGGATAGTGATAGCACCTGCCTCCCAGAGTAATTGTGAAGGTCACATGACATCACACCTGTAAAGCGCTTTGCCAACTTTAAAGCCCTATATAAATGCAATCATAATCGACTATTATTATTACTGCACCTGGAGTTCTAACTCCAGCACTTCTTCATTAGTGCTGTGTGACCTTGGATAAGTAAACTTCCCTCTTGGCACCTCAGTTTCTTCATCTATAAAATGGGAGTGAGTGTAATTCCTGAGGTCTCCTCTACCCTTGAATTCTCTGGTCTTCTGATCATTAGCAGCCTAGGACAGTCCCGTTGACTGGCCTGCCCCAGCATTATCTAGTCTGCTGTGAACAGAGTTTTGAGCATGGCAGATGGACTGCAAAAACAATGGGAAATCTAACTTTAAATACTCGTGTTTAAACATATATGAATGTGTGTGTGTGTGTGTGTGTGTGTGTGCGCGTGCGCGCGTGCATTGCATGGGCTCATCTGTGAACTTGTCTGAGCCCAGACTGTGAAGGCCAAAGAGAACAGCTTGGCCTAGGGGCACTGGGGAGCCACTGAAGTCGGTAGAGTAGGGAGTGATGGGGTCAGATGGCTCTTGAGAAAGATCACTTTGTCAGCAGAACAAAAGATGGAGTGGAGGGGTAGGGCAAGACTTAAAGCAGGAAGACCACCTGCCAAAAAAAATAATGCAGGTGAATGGTGAGGAGAGCCTGCCAGGGCATGCTGTGTGAGTAGAGAGAAGGGCCTAGAATCGAGAACTGGGATCGATGAGGAAAAAGACAATCAGCCAATCAGCCATCTGAGGGCTTCCGGCATGATCCGTCTGAGGAGCAGGGGTCTCGGCCTGATTTCTGTGCTTGCTGGCACACAGGCATCCTTGGTTGTTAACGTGTCACTTTCCTCCTAGATGCATGCAGAACACAGCCGATGGCCCCTTCGAGACAGTGGAGGACTATCTTTGTGACCCTGAGGAAATGCCGCTGGGTTCTCGCGAATGCAAATTGCCCTGCCCCGAGGACTGCGTTACGTCAGAGTGGGGTCCCTGGAGCAGGTGCTCACTGGTAAGGGGGCCCTTGACCCTTTCATCTCTGTAGCCTTTAAGCTGCGCCTGCGCCGGACTGGGTAACGAGCAGATGGCTTGTGGCTGCAGGGGCAGGTGCACAGCATAAATGCAGGTAATAGGAGTTTGCAAGCCCCCAACACGCTGGCTCCTCGTCCATCTGCAGGATACAATTCTTCCTCCTGAGGCCAACAACAAGCTCCCTGTGCCTGGACACGCAGTCACACAGTTCTTCCCCACAAGTGCCCTCCTGCCTGCCCTCTCGCCCAACACAGAGCCCAGAATGTCACTTTCACCTTCCTTTGAACAGTGTAGACCTGTCTGCGGGTACTTGGCAGGTTAAGAATTGTGCAGCAGTGAAAGGAAATCTCTCCAGGCAGGTGGGAGGATGACGAACCTCAAAGCTATATCACTCGGCTGCTCTCATCAGCCTCACATGCGATTCATTCCATGTAGATGTCGGGTCTCACCTGCCCAACAGCAGGTGTCTCTCGTTGAGAGCATTGTCCTTTAGAAGGCCGTGATGGGAAAGAAGCACGGGAAAGAAACGAGCCGAGGAGAACGGACATCAGTAAACCTCTCAGTAAGCAGTGTGTTAACTCCAGGCCTTTGTTTGTGCTTGGAAGCCCAACCAAGAATTTTCAGTTATTCAGCCTGGAAGACTTCAGCAGACTGCAGGGCTTCCCCACAGAATCCCAGCAATGGGATCACTTCCAGCAGAACTGGTTTGTGTTATAGGAAACATGACTCAGTTCTGGTGCCTTTCAAAGGATGCCCATTTCAAAGCTATAGAGAGAAATGTGAAGTTGATGTGCAATGGAGAAGGAGACTAAAGGGTCTAACACAGACAATGGATGATAAGATTATCATCAGGGCATGGTTGCTGTTCAGTTGTTCTGGTCATGTCCAACTCTTTGTGACCTCATTTGGGGTTTTCTTGGCAGAGATACTGGAGGGGTTTGCCATTTCCTTCTCCAGCTTGTTTTACAGATAAGAAAATGGAGGCAAATGGGGTGAAGTGACTTGCCCATGATCACACAGCTAGTAAGTATCTGAGGCTGGATTTGAACTCAAATCGTCCCAACCCCAGGCCTGGTGATCTATCTGCTGCAGCACCACCTTGCTGCCCTAGTGCATGTTTACCAGGAGGAAAATCTATTTTGCATCACCAGATTTTGTAATTGCTGTGGGAGGTAAAGAAAGTAGTCTAGATACATGGGAGATAACTATACCCCTTAATTTGTGAATAGACTAAATCCCCTTGCTATAACGGAGCTTAAAGGTGGGCTCTGTATTAAAATCTATAAATGAGTGTGAGAAAGAGAGACAAGGGGCAGCTAGGTGGTGCAATGGATAGAGCACCGGCCCTGGAGTCAGGAGGACCTACCTTCAAATCCGGCCTCAAACACATAACACTTACTAGCTGTGTGACCCTGGGCAAGTCACTTAACCCCATTGCCTAGCCAAAAAAAGAGAGAGACAGACAGACAGACAGAGACAAACAGAGACAGAGAATATTTGGCTAAGAATATAGTTCCAGAATTGGACAAAAGTGCAGTGGGGCACAATGTTTCCCACCCTGCTTCGTACCTTTGTACCCATTTCTTCCACTAGGAAACAAGTCTCCTGGCTCTACCTGCTCTTTCCAGTCTGATTCACATATAACTCTTATGTGCTCTGACTTCCAGCTAAATTCAATTCCATTTTATTCAACAGCCAATTTTAAGCTCCTGCTCTGCACAGACACTGTGTTAAGAAGTGGGAAGTGGGGCTTCGGTAACAAAATTGAATGAGTCCCTGTGCTCTAGAAGATATAAATGAAGGTGAAATAATTCAATGGGTAGAGGTTTCAGAGAAGAGAAATAGCTGATCTCAGACCACAATGGGCCGTAGAGATTCTTCCAAAGAGCCCAGGACCTGGACGGTCATTTTCAACAGGATTGGTCCTTGGAGTACATGATTAGGCCATTAGTGACACAGTTCAGCCATCAGTAATGGATGTGCTGACAGTGAAGCCTGAGAAAGGACAAACTGTCATCATTCGAACATGTCATCAGGGAAGTACACTGACCCGTGGAATCTGTCTTTTCCTGTGATCAGGGGTGGGTCTCCCAAATGCACTAGTGGGCTCCCATCCCTGAATGGCTTCAAGCCAAGGCTGAATGATCTCTTGCTGGGGATCCTGTAGAAGGGGTCTTCTTCAGGGGTGGGTTGGACCAGATGATGACTGATCCCCTCTAATGCTGAGGTCTTCACAACTCGTGTTTGTCTTCAATTGTAGCACGTGATCTTGAGTTACTCTCCCAATATGGGCTCACCTTGGCAGGCTGGGTTTCCAGAGGATAGCTGCTGTTGCCTCTCAGGGACTGGGGGCATATCTTTCTAGTGTTCTAGCTCACAAGCCCCACCAGTAAGCTCTTCCCAGCCCCCTTCATGATTATCCAATGATGTCAATCAACCAGACTTAATTAACTTTTAAGTAGTAGCAGTTACTAAGGAGGTATAGTAAGAACAGTTGACAAAAATCATCTGCCCAAAGCTTCTGGTGCCTTCTCCCACCAGGACAGAGAGAGTCAAGAGGAAAGTGGGTTTGGGCAGAGAACACAGCTCAGAGCGCCTGCTGGATAAAAGCCCTTTCCTCCCCTTCACGTGGTTCATGACATTCTCCCAAGGCATGGTGTAGCCTTCTGCTGGGCTCCTGGTAGAGTGTGGAAGCTGCATTTCCTCAGTGTTTCTCATCTGACCTCAGATCCCAATGAAGACGAGGATCTGTCCTAGGCATGCGGCTGAGATGTGGTGAAAAGTCCAAGTCCTCCAACCCTCCAAAGTTCAAAGCTATCAACGTGTCAAGGAGGATGGGGCAGTGTAGAAAGGAGATAGAGTCTCTCTCCACCCTCCCGCCCACCAAAAAATTCCTTTTAAAAAAGCTCTTCTCTAGGTTTTTATTGTTTAGTTGTTTTCCAGTCCTGTCCAACTCTCCATGACCCCATGTGGGGTTTTTTTGGCAGAGATACTGGAGTGGTTTGCCATTTCCTTCTGCAGCTCATTTTACAGATGAGAAAACTGAGGCAGAGTGAAGTGACTTACCTGAGGTGACACAGCTAGTAAGTGTCTGAGGCCAGATTTAAACTCAAGAAAAGGAGTCTTCCTGACTCTAGGTCCAGTACTCTATCCACTGTGCTGCCACCGAGCTGCCCACTTCTCCAGACAGCCAGATGTTTAAATGATTGGGCTCCAATCTCACCTGCTCTTCTATTGAAAACTCCTCGGTTGAAGCAGGGTTTCTTCAGCCATTACCAATAGGACCCTGGGTGGCATCAATTTACTTTATCCAATGGTCTTCCCTCCTTCCAAATTGATCGAATTCTTTTCCACACCTTGTTAAAGTGCCTTTAATTAATTGGTTGACTGATTGATTCGATAGAGAAGTTTAGACCTTATTCACACCTAGTTCATGACTCTGATTAATTTTTTGAACCAAGAAGCCTAGACGTTCAGTAATTGTTGAAGTGAAGGTATAGGACACCCCTGTTACACCATGATGACTGATTTTCAGAATGAATTCAATCATGGCTGTATGGAGGAGTCTGCACCATGTGGTGGGAAGAACCCAAAAGCTGAGGAGCCTCTGAATTCTTAAAGCAGAAAGTCACCTCAGAGATCACCTAAGTCAACACTTTCATTTTACAAATGAGGAAACTGAGGTCCAGAAAGGCAGAATGATGTGCCCAAAGTCACAGAGCCTGATATTTGTTAGTTAGAACTAGAACCCAGGGGTCCTAACGCTTTGGACGGTGCCTTTCCCAGCACATCTCCCTGCACAATTCCGAGTGGGAAGTCATGGTGCTCAGACCTTCTCTTCTTCTTCTCTCCAAGCCCTGCAATCAAAGCACATTCCGGGAAAGGTTGGCAGATCCGCTAAGGCAGGCAGATGAGGGGAAGCCCTGCCATGACATCACCGAGAAGGAGCCATGTGTCCTAAATAGGAACTGCTTCTACTATGACTACAATGTGACAGGTGAGCAGGAGGGTGTATGTGATGAAATGAATGGCTGTTAATGGACTGCATCAGCCTGGAAGGGGCCTCACCAGAAACACTTGGAGAGCCAAGTGCCCACAAGGCCTTGCTAAATGCAGGCAATGTTCTCTGGGAAAGGGTCTGTAGGGACTGACACACTTTCTTTGCATTGCATGAAGCTTGGTTAATTGAGGTGGATACAAGGATTTGAAAATAACCTCACTGCCTCTAACCCTGAAATTGCCTTAAGTATGATGGCCAATATGATCTGTCTTCCATGGGGAAGGTTCAGAAAAGGAAGAGTCTTTGTGCCAGACTGGTCCCCTGAGCTCTAAGGGCCCTCTCTTTCCAAGGGCCACAGAAGGTCATAGCATCCTAGAGCCCAGCTCACCCTAGATTCAGCACCCGGCCATAGTGAGCCTGGTAGCCAGGCAGCCAGGGGCAGCAGGAAAGTGCTGTTTCTGAGAGGAGTGAGAAGAAAGGGTACTTCCTGAAACACTGGTATGGAACAGAGAGGGACAATCCCAAAGGAATCATTGTGCTTTGATTCAATCTGGAGTTGTATCAGAGGAAATGGATTTGAATCCTAGCTTAGTAGCTATGACCTTGGGCCAGTCAGTCTCTCTCAGTCTCAGTTTCTTCATCTGTAAAATGAAAGGGAAAGGCAGCCTGGATGGGTTCAGAAAGACCTGGGTTCATGTCCTCCCTGTAACACCTGCTGATTATGAGACTTTGGGAAGTTACTTACCCCAGGGCCTTCCCCCGGCAAACTCTCTAAGACTACAGGGAAGGTGTTGATCCACATTAGGAGAAAAAGGTCTCTTCTCTATACTATTGAAATTATGTCTTTCATCTAAATAAATTAATCAATTCATTATCGATACTAATTACTTAATAACATGAGGGATCTGGAGTAGGTGACACCTGAGGTCCCATTGCTCAAAATCTATAATGCTGTGAACTCAATCTTATAAGCTTTCATAAAGCCCTGACTGTGTGCTAGGCACTGGGAACAGATAGACCACAAAATGCTTCCATTCTGTTGGGGGGGGAAGGGAGGAGAGCAACATGGATACGTGTGAATTAATATGAAATTATAAAGAGAGAGGGGTCATATCAGCTGTCTGCCAGGATTTGCAGAAGGGTCTGGCTTGTTTGTTTTGCCAGAGTTGACAGAACTGGGAGTGATGAGTGAAAGCTGACAAGATTCACACAGGGTGGGCAGGCATGAGTGGGCTGCAATCTGCATTAGATGAGGGAGTAGCTACACTCCTGAGATCACAGGTCTTGTTAGTGTTTGAGAGTAGAAAGTTTGACTTTGAGGGCTAAGCCAGTGTGGAATAGGGCTGCCTCCAGAGAGAGTAAGCTCCCCTTCCCTCCCAGGCTTCAGAGACTGGAGAACCATGTGTTGATCCCATTGTAGCAGGGATTCTTGTTGAGGAATGAGTTGGGATAATTGGCTTCCAATGTCCCTTCCAAATCTGAAATCCCATGATTCTGCGAGGCTTTAAAGGTGGATTTCTGTGGAACTGCCCTGAACTAATGAAGACTTACAAGTCTAAAGAGTTGCTTAGGGGCCCTGAAAGGCAGTTAATGTGTCATAGTCAGACCTTGAATCCGTGTCTTCCTGGCTCTGAGCTTGGCCCTCTCTCCATGTGACCCTGATTCTCATTAGCTGGTGAAAAGAAAGAATATTCTGAAAGTCACTGTTGTTATCAAGGAAATACTTTGTAAACGACATTTGCTCTCTAGCTCAATGTTCATATCATCAGACAAATTACTCCCACGATTGAGCTGAGATACCTTCCACCCTTGGAGTTCCAGGCAGTGACAGACTCTCCCCTTCTCATCCTTACACGTGGGCCCATCATGGTTGGGTCCCATGCATTGGTGCTGGTGCTGGCCTTGGTGCTGGCATCATGCAAGGTTGTGGATTGAGAAGCCCCTGGAGCAGTCAAGAATGAAACATGAGCTTCAGGTCACCAGAGCCTACTTAGATATCTGCTTTGAGCCCTTGTGTGCTGATGTGCTCTCCCCTCTGCAGACTGGAGCACTTGCCAGCTGAGTGAGAAGGCAGTTTGTGGAAATGGCATCAAAACGAGGATGCTGGACTGTGTTCGCAGTGATGGCAAGTCTGTTGACCTGAAGTACTGTGAAGAGGTGGGTGGATATTTTCCCCTAATAACTCAGTTCATGCTGAGCCAAGTGACCTGCACTCCACGCGATCCCTTGCTGACAAATGTTTTTCTAGGCTATTCACAGACTATTAAATGCCCCTTGGAACAAGACTGTGCCTGTCACTACTGATTTCTTCCCATCATTTCCTCTAGTTTCTCTTGTATGAGGTTCAAGAATATGCTAATGAGCCTCTTCTGAACAAAATGCTTGGGGACCAATCAGCAATCACAGGAATAAAAACAGTAAATCTTACTCAGGCATTCATTGGGTTTTTAATTGGATGGGAATCGTGGGCAGTGCCTGGGACACCTGCCAGTGTCAATCATGGTTACTGTGGGTTACTAAACATTAATCACATGCGGTCTGTAAGTACAGTGAGGTATGAATCTCTAATCTCTAACAATGTGACCCTTGGTCTTCCCATCTGGCCAAGCAATTGAGTCAGCTGATGGCACCCAGAAAGCTTAGGCAGACAATCCCTCCCTCCTGGCTTCTCTGTTTGTGAAAGCCATGTTTTCATCTTGAAATATGAATTTTTGAGGCAGGTGCAAATACAGCTGTTTATCTTTCTTCATTTTAATAAAGAAGGAGTGACTTCTAAAGTGAATGATGTCTAGACTTTACCTGCTTGGAAGAAGACCTGCCTTACATGTCTGAGAATTTTAGGATCATATTTAGAGCCAGAAAGAATTCTAAGGATCATCTATTCCAACCCATCCATTGTATAGAGAAGGAAATTGAAGCCCAGACAGGTTAAGTGATTTACCCAAGGTCATACAGATGGCAAAGCCAGGATTTGAACCCTACCCCTCTGATTCCAAATCCAGCATGCTTTCTACTCCATCACATTAAACTATTGACATTTGACATTTCTAAATGCAGATGTTATTCCAAGTCCCTATTACTTAAACAAATGGAATGACAACTTCATAAAGAATGGTTAAGTCCCTAGCAGACTGGCTGATTGAGAATTAAAGTCCACCTCCAGTGTCTCACCATGGTATGAAGGTGGTTCAGTCAATCAGTCATCATTTGAGTACCTACTTACTATGTGCCCAGCAGTCAGCCAAGACTCTGGAAGATTCTACCAGAGGGTCCCTAAGTATGGCAAATTTTTTCAAAGCATAGGTCCATCAAAAGAGTAACTGGGCTAATTTAGGGAGGCTTATCACCAGAACATGGAATGCATTTATTTTGGCCATCACCACTCATGAGACTGTCATGTGTTCTAAAGCTTTGTATTCGGCTTTGATGGAGGCAATAGCCTCCCAGATAAAATCCCAAATCCTTTAACTACTGAACCAAATTGTGGCAATAACATTTATTTAGTGGCAGCCTTCTTTAAATAATGTTATTGCTATCTTTCTGCCACACTTATATTTTCTAGTATTGTATCCTTCTCCTTCTTCTCAGAGAGCCATCCCACATAACAAAGAATTAAAAGTAGAAAAGAAAAAACAAGTCAGCAAAACCAACAAATATTGAGCTACGAGATCTAAGGCAGATAATTTTGAGTTGTTCTCTTTGTATCGTCATAGCAAAGGCAGGGGTCGTCTGGCAGATGGAATTAGACAGCACACATTATATTTGTCTATCAGAGCTTGTAATGAAGGATTAAACAGTTCAGGGGACAAATAGACCACACACCTGCACATGTATATACGTGCGCACGTGCACATGAGGGCGTCTCACACACACACACACACACACACACACACACACACAAGCACACACACTCATATACTTCCAAAGGCTGGATTGCTTGCCTTCTGCAGAGACTTATTCTCAAGCCAGCCACAGTAGCTAACTCCTGCTGTTTCTCCAGTCACCTGAAAAAATGATGGGCTTGATCCCCAACATGGAGGAAAATGGAGGTTAACAGCATGTAGTGTTACCTCAACATTCATAGGGCTTTTCAGACGTTAACACAACTGATACCTGGGGGTTGTTCTGTCCCATTTTCCCTTGAACAAAGAATGCATTGCAAACCTTAGAGCATTATATAAATGGATGGTATTTTTATTATTAGCAATCCCAATTATAAGGGATTTGTTGTCTGCAGGGGGAAAAACATGCAAGGACCATATAGACATAAGCACAAGGCCAGAGTGCAGTAGCCTGCCTTAGCACCTCACGTTGTAAATGATGGAAGTTTCCGATAATGAATAATGGAACCACCAGAACACTAGCATAGAGAAACAGCATTGTAAGGATGGGCTTTTCTCAGCAGTTGGTAACATTCCTTGTGTTCTTTCAATTGCAGTATGTAAAGGCAGGGAAGCTTAATGTCAGTCCAGTTCAAAGAGACTCATATAAGTTACAAACACCTTGGCCCAACACATTTACACTCTGAGATACATCTGAAACAAAATCTTGGCCAAATCTCATGTAATTAACTCTCCCTTGGGAGCAGTCCTTTTTCAGAGAGTAAATCTTGCCCCTCTTAGGTAACATCATGGGAATGATTCCCAATGTCCTTTTCTGGAACTCTCGTTTTCTGAGCCCTTTTTAAAACTGAGGTCCTGAGTGAGCCCCTAAGGCTGCCCGATCCTGTTCTTAAACATGAGATAAACCTGCTGGCTGCAGGCCTCAGAAACTTGGGCTCATCATTTTCAACACACAAAGACACACATTTGCTTAACACCTTTCACCTGATGATGACATTCTCAGGTTATGCCATGACTATGATAAAGCCTTTTGACCAATGGCAAAGATAATCCTGTCTAAAAGAAGTAGATTGACACAATAAGAAAACCCAAAGAAATGGAGGCAGAAGACTTTTGCCAGGCCTTGGGGTAGCTCCTAATTACTGTGACCTTAAACAAGTCACTTAACCTCTCTGTGCCTTAGTTGCTTCATAAGTAAAATAGGGACAATGACTTTTGCCCTGCCTGATTTACAGATTTGTTGAAAGGGGAGTGCTTTGCACACAGTAGGACCAATAAGGGGCATTTCATTAGTGCTTTGCACACAGTAGTACCAATAAGGGACATTTCATTAGTGCTTTGCACACAGTAGGACCAACAAGGGGCATTTCATTTGTGCTTTAAAGTTTCCAAAGCATTCTATATATTATCGTCCCATTTGAGCCTCACAATCTTATGAAGAAGATGCTATAAGAATTATCCTCATTTTACTGATGAGAAAATTGATGCTAGGAGAGGTTAAGTGACTTGCCCTAGGTCACATAGCTAGCAAAAGTTGGAGGCAGCATTTGAACCCAGGGCTTTCTGACTCCACAGCTAGTGCTCTATCCATTATACCAACCATGTCATAATTGTTTAGCCTCTCACCTTAGGCCCAGTAAGATGCATTGGACAAAGATGAGTTTGGAATCCTCATGCATCTTTGCAAGTATGCTATTTCTGTCCTCTCTGAGGAGTAAAGGGGTAAGGTAAATCCCACGAAGCTGCTTAGCTTCTCCTCTACCATTTCTTGACCTGTGGTGACAGCCACCAAGAGCTTGAGTTTGGGGTAATGCCCAGGGCCCGATGCTGCTAGCATGAAGAGAAAGCTTAGAGCATCACGGACATGCCACTTCACCTCTTTACCATTTCATTGCTAAAGATATATGCTGGTGTCTAATAGCAAAGCAGGAAAGCCAAAGTGCCTTCCCTCTAAGAATATAAATAAATATAAATAAGCCTCAGGATCCAAGGTAACAAACACCAACAATAGGGCTGCCAGCATTTCCCAGGGTGTTCACACAGATGTGTCTCCCTCAGCCTGTTCCCCTGCTCTGGCTCAGCTTATTCTCAACCACCCATTAGTCAAAGTCACAATGTTTGAATAACCTATCGATTGCCTTTATGCAGGACACAGAGCAATGATGTCTCCACTGGCTCTCCATCATTCATCAAATCTAATGCTCCCTTGTCTCTCAGGGCAGTGAGCTTCTCTGTGGCTCTGCCTGCAGCCACCTTGCCTCTGGCTCCCTGGGGCTGCTCATCCCACTTCCTCTTCTGTCTAATGGGAGGGGGAGATGGAATGTGTGAACCTGGCCCCCTCACCATTGTCCTCTGAGTCAAGGACTGTGCACCGAAGGAGTTCACCACTATGTCATCATAGGGAGAAAACCATGAAATCACAGAATGGGACATTGATAAGGAAAAAACAAAGAGTTAGCATCTTTAGAGTTGCCATAATTCCTGAAACATCTGAGAAATGCCTAGTAATCTGTATACAGTGCACTCATACTGTGCCTCCAGGTTGGAAGATGTAATTCTGCATGGTATTCATTGTCACCCTCTTCTGTCTACCCCGCAATGAAGTCCAGCAACAGAATTTGCCCAGGAAATGTCCCTGAGTCCTCTTTCTCCCTTGTGAGCACAGAAGGAAGGAGGGATGTGCAAGGTTTTTCTCAGTGTCTTTTTTCAGCCTCATCAAGGATGGGACTGTATAACACTCAATGTGAAATACTCATCACTAATTTGTGGGGCACTTTTTTTTTTTAGCTCAGCCTGGAGAAGACCTGGCAAATGAACATGTCCTGTGTGGTGGAATGCCCTGTCAACTGTCAGCTTTCTGACTGGTCACCCTGGTCAGAGTGCACTCACACATGTGGCCTGACAGGTTGGTACCCCCTCAGCTGTCAGACCTGTAGAACTGAAGAACTTCCTTATGCACAAAGCCTTTCCTGATCTCCATGCTTGGGAGGCCTCAAGTTTTAGCCATCTGGAAAGTTACTGTGTGTCACTGACTCGAGAAAGTCAATACATCCTGTTGGATAGAGCTAGAACTGGAATCAGAAAGAATTGGCTTCAGATCCTGCCTCTGACAATTACCAGTTATTATCCATGGACACTCACTTAATAGCTCTGATCTTGTCTCCTTGCCTTTCAAGTGGCACTTAAATACCTGTGGACCACAGATCACAGGACCATCATGAGGCAGAAATGAAGTCATGGGTGGAAAGAGCTTTGCCAACTTTAAATCATTACAGAAATGTTGGTTATTATCATTAAGTTGCCAACTTTGTGTCTTTCAAAGGAAAAATGATCCGAAGGCGAACAGTAATTCAGCCCTTTCAGGGAGATGGCAGACCTTGTCCTGCACTGATGGAACAATTCAAACCTTGCCTGGTGAAACCCTGTTATCGATGGCAATATGGCCAGTGGTCAAACTGCAGAGTAGAGGTATGCCTGGAGGAGGTGGGGTGGGGGCAGGTGCATGTTGCCTATAGGGACCCTGCAATTGGAATTTGTCAGTATACAGGTGACACATTAGCAATATGGAAAAGTGGAAAGGGGGCTGCCTTTAGAGGCAGGCCCTGAATTCAAATCCTGCTCCATTTCTCACTCCCCATATCACCTTGGGTCAGACTTTACCTCTCTGAGCTTCAGTTTCCTCTTCTGTAAAATCAGGGGGTTGGATTGGATGGCCTCTGGGTTCCTTTTTAGCTCTAAACCTATGACTCTGTGATTTTAAGTGTTTGGCCATAGAATAAGTAGTTAATTAACCCTAATGTTGAGCTCCTTTTGTGCTATCCTCTTTCAAAGATTTGGAGAATCATTTGAATAAGAACTAACTTGCAAAAACGAGGGCTTAGTCTGAATGCTGTCCCTGGTGCTGAACTCAGGATTGCTTGGAATCCGAAAGAAGGAGATGACTTAGGAGCATGGGACCACTAAGTAAAGGTGTGTTGTTGTTTTCTTTTTCATCTAATTTCTTCTTTCTTCCTCCTTTCCAGGATGCTCATTGTGGAGAGGGGACTAAAACCCGAAATGTGTCTTGCATAGTGAGTGATGGAACAGCAGAGGATCTCGGCAAGATTGTGGATGAGGAATTTTGTGCAGAAATAGACCCTGTGGTGGATGGAAATAAGAAGATAGTGCTTGAGGCAACGTGCACGCAGCCTTGCCCTGGTAACAAAGACAAGATAATGATGGATGCGTGGGCTTCAGAAGCTAGGACTGGTCTCAGAGATCACCTGTGCAATGGCCTTATTTTATGGATGAGAAACCTGGCATGTTGGGGCATGGTTAGCATTAGCTTCCCAGACATGTTTTCCAATTTGATATAGGCTTGTCTTTTTCATTCATGATGGGCTGTTCCTTTTTTCCTGAGCCACGACAAGGCACACATGCACTAGAGCCCATTATCTATGAAGTGTTCTCCAGACCCAGTGAAGACTTCCAGAAATCACATCCACATTCCCCTTCACATGGTCTTCTTAACCAGAAACACACCATGGCTTGATGTCTCTCTTTGGCTTTTGTTTTTAATGTATTTTACTTTTTGTCAATTATCAAGTATTTTTTTTCTCCCTACCAGCTCCCCTTTACTGGGCAGGGAGGAGATGGAGGAGAGAAATCCTTGTTACATATAAGCACAGTCAAGAAAGACAAATTCTCACATTGGCCACATTCCAAAATGTGCAGTTTGTTCTGCGTGATGGCAGCACAGGACACTCATCAACAGACAGCAGGGCACAATGTCAGCTACCTTCACATGGGGCAAGGGGGCTGGAATCACCAGAGTGCCCATAACTGAAATAACGAAAGTGAGAGGGACACACTTAGGGGAGCACATCTTCAGAAAGCAAATGCAGGCTGCCATCTGGCCATCCCTGAAGTCTTTCCAGCTAGGCAAGACTGCCCAGAGCTTGGCTGTGCCGTCATATGCTCCAGGAAGCCTGGGTAAACCCACACCCCAAATCTGAGGCAACGCAGCACAGAAGAAAGAGCACTAGTTCTGGAGCCAAAGGCCCTGGGTTCTAATCCTGCCTCTGATGCTTATGCCCTATACTGACCCCAAGTCACATGATCTCCCCAAGCCTCAGTTTCCTTATCTGTAAAACAAACAGGTTGGACTAGAAAGCCTATAAAGTCCCTTCTATCTCTACATCTATAATACTATGATTTTATAAAAGAAATCACATCCTTCCATATTAAGACCTCCTTTTGTCTCTAGCATAAGCATCCTGTGTGAGGCAATCAGGCAGTAGGCCTGAGGGACTCTTTGAGGCTATCAGACGGTATGATAATCCTTCCCAACCCATCCCAAATCCCGTACTGGGCTGGATTCTAACAAATCCATAAGGCAAACAACATGGTGGCCTCGTGTGACCAGCTGCTGACCCTGCCAGCACTAAAGCAGCCTTCTAGGCTGGGCTTTTCAGTGGGTCAGGCTGGGGACACCCTCTTCTCACTTCCGTGTGATTTCTCTGAGGGAATAGTGTCCACCCCCATTCCTGCTGTATCAGCACAAGATATGAGCCTGCATTTCCCTCATCTTGGATGGTCAACTCAAGCTGATGTGGTTGGCTCCTGGAAGGGGGCCTGGGTCTCTTTGTTTTCCTTTGGATTGTACCTAAACTATCACCTCATGCTGACAATGTGATACACTGCCATAGACTTCAAGGTAAAGTGGAGAGATTTCCAGGCCTGGAATCAGAAAGACTTATGTTCTGAGTTCAAATCCAGCTTCAGATACTTACTTGCTATGTGACCCTGGGCAAGTACTTTAACCTGTTTGCCTCAGTTTGCTTATCTGCAAAACGAACTGGAGAAGTAAATGGCAAACCACTCCAGTCTCTGCCAAGAAAACCTCATATGGGGTCACAGAGTCAGGCAGGACTGAAACAGCTGAACAACAACAACCATAGATTTCAATTAAGTGCCTACTAAGCACAGAGCCCTAGGCTTAATGAACTTCATTTAGAATGATGATTGAGGAAGGAACAGTGTAGTCACCACCATAGAGGCGTATCTGGGGAAATGATTTCACTTACATTCACTTTCTTCATCTGTAAATCAAAGGAAATTATATCTGCCCTTCCACTGTCTCAGGAGGGCTGTGAGGATCAAATGAAAGGGTCTATTAAAGAGCTTTCTGAACTCTGTAAAGCAATTTACCAAGATGGAAGAGATGCCCTCTTGGGATTATTTAAGAGGCAACATGGTGCCTGATAGAGCAAGTGCTGGGCTTGGCATTCAGAATTTGCCCTGATGACTAAATTTGGGCTTCTCAAGGATAACTGCAAAAGTTTCTGATGCAATGGCATGATTCTGGCCTGTTGGCATAATCCCCTTGATTTCTGTAAACCAATCCACATATCCCAACCATTTGCACAGTGCTTCACTGATTGTGTCGAGTTCGTGTAGATGTCATCCAGGGTGGGATTTTTTTATCCCAGTCTCAAATAGTGTCCATTTCGTAGGCTCTGCCCAGTGTGACCCACTTTGGGTTACATTGGATAATCTCAGTGGTGTAGACCTTCAACCTACTTTTGCTTTGAGAAGTGATATAGATGGTGATAATGGTGATGATGATGATGGTGTCACCTGTTAGTCTTTGCTCTTATTCCAGTGCTTTACAATCCATAAATATATAAATATTTTAACAATAATTCACCTTAAAAATTTCCCTAAATTGGGAAAGGGAGGAATTAGAGGAAACAAAAGATGAATGAAGAGTTACACTATATTCTCTCTCTGTGTATCTCTCTGTCTCTGTCTGTCCCTGTCTCCCTCTGACTCTCTGTCTCTCTCTCTCTCCTGCCAACACCCAAAGACATGCATAACTATGTATATTGCTTTGTTCATGTTCTGTAACCTTGTGTTTTGACAGGTGACTGTTATTTGAAAGAATGGTCAGCATGGAGCTTGTGCCAGTTAACCTGTGTCAATGGAGAAGATCTTGGTTTCGGAGGGATCCAGGTCCGATCTCGAGCCGTCATCATCCAAGAACTAGATAATCAGCATCTTTGTCCAGAACAGATGTTAGAAACCAAAGCCTGTGATGGTGAGTGTTGGTCTCGTTCAGCAACTGCCACTGATTTAGATTAACCATAGTCTTTGCCCTCATGGAGTACACAGTCTTGGAAGGGAAGGAATAAGCCAGAGATGTAGTCAATGTCTTAAGAGAACTCCACCCCTGCAGGTGAGAGGAAATCTAAAGCACAGGGTGCCAAGAGGGTACACAAAGGAAACATCACAGAGAGGGCAGCACTGATTTGGACTCTAAAGGATGTCTAGAATTTCATAAGGCAGAATTTCTGGGTCATGGGACCAACAAAATGGCAGACTAGTCACTTCCCTCAGTTCTCACTAACTCTCAGAAACGTTCCCCAAGTAGCGATTATGCACCAGCTGTAGAGCAGCCCAGCTGGATGCACAGGACAAAAACAAGAGCCCCAGCAGAGCCAAGTCACCATGGGTTAACACCAGAGATTGTTCATCCTTACAGTTCTCACTCTGCACCCCTCCCCCATTAGTCTCCATGCTCTAGGAAGGGTGTGGCCATAAACCAACCCAGGGGTTTGTGCTGAGGCCTATGCCACACTCCTACTGCAGAGACTTTGACAGCATGCTTCAAGGGGACAGGGAAGAATGGCTGCAGAAAGGCCTGAAACCTGGCTGATGTCAGTCCTGTTTCAGCAGAGTCTACTTAGGGCAAGGACTCATGCCACTGAATAGTAAATCCCCCAACATTAAGGAGACTGAGGCAGCTTTTTAGCCTAGCTCTGGAGCAGAAGGTGGAGAGGAGTAGCCACCAACACAGAGGAAGAAGACAGAAAATGAGCAATAGGGGACTCTCTCTAACAGGATTTGTCCTTCCCTGAGAGTGGGACATTTCTGCTGCCGTTTATTCTACTGGAATGGACAGAATCCTGGAGACAAGGATGGTTTCATTTCTTTCTTCTTGTCCCCAGCACCTAACACAATGCCTGCCCCTTGGCAGACATTGAATGAATGGTTCTTGATTGATTGATGTATATGTATCTGTTTATGTGTTGATGCATCCCAGTAGAATGCAATCATCTTGAGGGCAGGGCTCTTTTGTTGTTGTTATTGGTAGCAGTAGTGCTGGTAATGGTTTGGGTGTGTGAATGGCCAGCACTTAGCACAGAGCCAGACATACAGTAGATGCTTAGTAAAAGCTTAATGATTAATTAACATATATTCTTATCTGTATACATCAATATCACCCCAGGTGAATGTAGGCTTAAGGACAGGGATTCTTTCCTGTTATCTATGTGTCCCCAGAACCTAACACAGGGCCTGACGTAGCAGGTGGCTAATAAATTCTTGTTGATTGATACTGACCACTTGATTCTGTCCTCCCAGAGGGCCAGTGCTATGAATACAAGTGGATGGCCAGTTCATGGAAAGGGTCTTCTCGGACAGTCTGGTGTCAAAGATCGGATGGTCTAAATGTAACAGGTAAACCTATCACTTCCCTTTGTTCCACTGGAAGCAGGGTCACAGGTCACAGGGTGAAACGCATGAGGAAGGAAGCCCATGGGTCTGACTGTCCAAGCTGAGCATGAGTGCCCTCAGATTCCTGGACCCTTTTGTGGCACATTAGTTCCTTCCTCAGATTCACTATTCTGGTCTCCCTCATATGGCTGATAATTCCTCCCCATGTGTCCAGTTGGGATTTAATTAATTGATTAAGTAATTAATTAAAAGGTCATTCTCCTTTGAGTTCTTTTTCATAAAGTGATATTACATTATTTTAAGTTTACAGAACTTTTGCCCTGGACCTGTGATTTCATTAGTGTAGGGAGTTCCTGGGGTAGATGCTGCCTCTGATGATGCAAGTGGCAGCTGCCCCCTCCCCCACTAGTATAGCTTTAGAGTTGACTGAAGTTCAGAGAAGAGCCTTGACTACAATCACACAGCAAGTGTGTATCTGGAAATTCCAGATCTTCCTGACTCTGAGGTTGGCCTTTCATCTACTACACATCCCATGAAGATATTTAGAAGAATAAAATGGGAGAGTTTTAATGGAGAAAATGTTCAGATGACCTCTTACCCATAGAAATTCAGGAACCATAACAGTCAGAAGTTTGCCCTGCCTAGGAGACTAGCCCCAGAGCTCTCCAGACTCCCCAGGACTCTCAGATTCTAGATGCCAAGAATCTCTAGTCCATGATACACTGTTGGGGAGAACAGTGGTCGCTACCCCCCCCCAGTCCTCCTACAGCATGAAAAACTCCTTGTTTCCTTCCCTAGAAGTTGGCAAGCTGCCAGCTTTCATCGTTGGGTAGAGAAAGTTTTCCAGAGGGGGCTCAGGGTTCCATGCCCCAGGTGGAAGGGAGGCAAAGATCTGGCGTCTTCCAGCAAAGCCTTGGCTCACTCAGTACACCAGGTCCTAGTGAAAGGTTTGCCCCTAATGCCACCAAGGAATCAGGAATGGAGGAACATTTGCCTATCTCCTCATGTTGGCAGGACCAGAGTCTCAGAAAAGAAAATGGTCAAGGGTCTTATTTTAAATCTCCAGAGCAGAATTGGTGGTATCTCACAGCCCATGCTATTGGTTGCTAAGGTTATTTTTTTTCAAAAGATGGGCCTAGATCCTGCTGACTTCTTCTCCCTGTAGGCCTAGCCCTAATCATGATGAAGGATGTAATCCTAAAATATAGACAAAAGCATGACTGAGAACCTGTGGGAATAAGAGGATTTCCCCTTCTGTTCTGTGAGAGTGTCATGACCTAGATTGGCAGTCCTCATCCTGTATTCTTTCCTGATACTATGATTATTGATTAACTATGCACATAATGTACATAGGGAAAAGAATGGTGGTTGGTGATGGCCCTCCATACCTGCTCAATCATAACTTGGCTTCATCAGTAGCCACCCACAGCCCAATGATATCAGGCCAATAGAAGGCATAATCAGGTCAACACCTCCCTCAGAATGGAGTTGGGAAATGACTTGTGGCTGGCAGGGTTCTCCAGAAGAGTTCTCTATGATAAAATGGGCCATGCTCATGTCAGCAGAAATAACTCATATGAACCTAGGCATAACAGCTTCCTTCTACACTGTGCCCATGCTCTCTGGGTGGTTTGGGCATCAATGTTCAGCCAACTACTTCATCCACTTTTTAGAAAGATGGACAAACACAGGCCTCCTAACCCCGGGTACTAGTTTTTCTGGATAGCGATCCTCATAAGCCCTTGGAAGAATTATTTTTGTTTTGCATTTAGACTTAAAAACTCTAATGAACATCTAAATAGAAACTTCTAACTTCAGCTACCTAGTGATTACTGACCATGAAAAAATCCATCACCATGAGAACTTGGGCTCTGATGCTGATGGTAAGGAGCGTCCAGAGCCAGCCTGCAAAGCAACTGGAAGATATTGTCAATATTCACAATCAGTCAGTCATCAGTCAGTAAGCTTGTATTAAGGGGTTACTGTACACCAGTCTCTGTGCTAAGCACTGAGGTGACAAAGGCAAAAAACCAGTCTCTGCCCAAAAGAAGCTCCAAACTGAATGGAGAAGACAACATGTGGAAAGAAAACTAGTTATGTCCAGGTTACATACAGAGTAAATGGGAGGTAGTCTCAGAAAGAATGTCCTCATGGCTGCTGGGGGAGGAGAGAAGACAGATGGAATTCTTTTTTCCTGCATTGCAGTACGGAAATCCAGGCATCACAGGGAGAAGATTCTTTAGCATCTCCACCTCATCAGTGTAATTACTTTATGACAGCTGTTCTCATCACAAACTCCACCTGGTCATAACTCTGAAAGGGCATCCCCCAGGACCACGGGAAGAGAATCCTGAGTTAGAGAAAACAAGGGCAAGGTTGAAAGTCTCCAGCTATTCCAAGTCAGGGACGTCACCTTCTTGCTGGGTTTTTTCTACTTATGCTTCTTTTTTTGTTTGTTTGTGTGTTTGGCTTTTGGTTTTTGGTGAGGCAGTCGGGGTTAAGTGACTTGCCCAGGGTCACACAGCTATTAAGTGTCAAGTGCCTATGGTCAAATTTAAACTCAGGTCCTCCTGATTCCAAGGCTGGAACTCTATCCACTGCATCACCTAGCGACCCCTATACTTACACTTCTGCCCCTCTCTGTGGAATCCTGCTCCGCTTATTTCCATGCCTAAATAAGCACCATGATTTTCCCACCATGCAACAGGAGCATCACTTGGGGGCAGCCCTGGCTTGTGCCATGGGTGGCCTGTAATTTGCACATTTCGAGGGTGGATCCCTGTCAGTGACATTTAATTCAGCACAGTTCAGCTGACAGTGATTATGTGCCCACAACACCCAAAGAAGGCACTGAGCTAGGAGCTAGGGACACAGAAAGAGAAAGAAAACATTCTCTACCTTTAAGAAGCTTACATTCTATTGGTGGAAAACAGTGTGTAGGGAGATAAGTATTAACTAGAAAGTAATTTGAAGAGGGAAATACTGATCACCCCCAAGGAATCCAGATGGGCTTCACATCAGAGGTGATCCCTGAGCTGGGCTTTAAGGAAAGTGAGGGATTCTTTGATGCAGAAGTGAGGAAACGATCACAGAGCCATTGCAAGAGCAAAGAACTGCTCTAAGTGCCAGTCATGTGAGTCCTGGGGTGCCCCAAAGCCATAGACCCCAAACCTTTGAACAACCAGAGACACTGTTGATGTTTCCTGACTAGATGCATCACATATGCTCAAGGTTAGACTTGGAGATTAATGATGGCATTGCCTTGATCATTGCCTCACCCACAGTCTGTCTTCAGAACATCTCTCAAGTAGCAGTGGCTGAGGAACAGATGCTAGCTTGCTGCTTCAGGGCTAAGATTCCTCCTCTGCCTCCCTGAGCCTGAGCATCATCTCAGCAAAAGGTTAGCTCAGCCTCAGTCATTGGAGAGCAAGCACTCAAGCCCATGGCCATGGATGGCTCTGGATGGGAGCTGCTGTGGGTCACATTATGATTTTGTGTTCCACAGGGGGCTGCCTGGTGACACGCCAGCCTGAGTCTGACAGGTCATGTAACCCACCCTGCAGCCAGCCTCATTCCTACTGCAGTGAGGTAGGTGACACCTCTGGGAGCAGGAAGTCCAACTCCAGCCTAGGCCTTGCCTCTGCCTCTACCTTCCATACCCCCGTCGGAACATGGCTCACTTACCCTGAATCTTTCTTTTTTAGTAGCTAGACTAAGCATGAAAATGTCCAGATTTTATTTGCAGAGTTATCTTTTCACCACTTATAATGGCAGCTCCAGTGCTCTGAGATGTTGTCCAAATTGGCACATTCTCCTTGATTAACTCTAGGCAGGAGGAGTCCAGTCACTAACCTGTCCGTTGTCTCAGTACCAAACCAGCATGTGTCTTCAAAGTCAGCTTTGACCAGTGAAAGTAGATCTTGCATGAAAATCAGTCTGGGGTATCTGTCCACTGGGTTCCTGTTTGCAATCCCTCCCATCCGTGCATGTGCAGTGTAAAGCCCACTGTTCTCCTGCAGACTCGAGCCTGTGGTTGTGAGGAGGGATACACAGAAGTGATGTCCTCCGATGGGACACTGGAGCAATGCACCCTCATTCCTGTGGTGGTCATCCCCACTGTCGAGGACCAAAATGGAGACGTGAAAACGAGCCGAGCTGTGCACCCCACACAGCCTTCTGGGAACCCATCAGGACGGGGACGGACCTGGTTTCTGCAACCATTTGGGCCAGGTGAAGTGACAAGGCATGGCAGCAAAGCAGAGTTCTGCCTACAGAGCCCTGAATGGGGAGTCTGAGGGCCAAGATTGCAATCCCATCTCTCCCAGTGGTACCTCAGGCAAATCATGTCACATCTCTGGCCCAAGTCTCCTCATCCATGACCCAAGGGAGTCAGACAAAATGATCCCACAGGTCCCTTCCTGAGAGAGAGACAGAGATGGAGACAGAGAAACAAAGAAAGACAAAGACAGACAGAGAGAAGAAACAGAGAGATAGACAGAGAGACAGACATAGACACAGAAATAGGTAGAACATACACAAAGGCTTTCCTGAGGACTGGGTACCTCCTAAGGGGTAGCCATCATTTCATATACTAGAGCTGATTTTCATCAGCATGGTTCTTACAGAGAACTTTCTTATACACCTTTCCCAGGAGCTGTTTTCTACCTGAGAGGTCCAGAAGGATTTTTCCCTGAAGTCTTGCTCCTTGCCTTATAATTTTTCATGTTAAGCTATTCTTTATCAGCAGGAGGATTCCTAATCAAAGATGCGATTAAGGGAAGAAACGCTGACTGGCAAGAGAATCTATACCAGGTGATTAGGCTAAGTTATTCTCAGGGCACTTCACCAAGGAGCCAGTGAACAAAGGCACAGTAAGTGGGTACTCAAAACATGTTCTTCCAGTGCCAGGGTCAGAGCTAGAAGGTGCGTCCTTGCCTGAACCCTCATTCATGGAGACCCCTTTGTGCTCTGCCTTCCTATTCCTACAGCCCATGTTAACACCCAGTGATTACCAGAAGGGTGGGCCACTTGGGCATCTTCCAGCCCAAGGGTCCAGGAGTAACCTAATCCACTATCACCATTGTCCAGGAGACATTTCCCCACCTAGTCCATCGGCCAACCATTCAGGTGAGGGCTTAGTGACCAAAATCAAACTGCTCACTCTTCTCTTTTTCTAGTTGCCTACTCCCATAAAGTAGGTTTGAGCACAGAGGTAGCACTGAAGTTAGGCAGATGCCTAGGATCCCTGCACAAGGGATCTGATGGGAGCAATGAATAGGAGGTTTGGTTAGCAAACACCCAATAGAAAATATAATGCCAGGAGCCCTCCATAACTCCCTAGAAGAGGTGCCATGATAACAGATAAAATAAATATTGGCACAGCTGAGAACCATTGTTTTGACATTCCATCAAAATGTCCTCCAATTTCTTTTGACTTCCATTAAATATGTTTTTCATGTATTTTGAGGCTAAGGTATAACCAAACAAAAAAAATTAACATGAGCCTAACTTCTAAACTAGAAATAGGACATCCTAGGAAAAGCTGACCACCTGCTTAATCATTCAGCATCTAAAAGCAGGGGGAACCAGCCCCTAGATGGGGATTTGCTTTCTTGACCTAGTATCCCAAAAGGTTCATTCACCATAAAACAGAGAAGGAAGTATTAGTATTTTCCATGACTTTCAATTTGAGATTTGTTTTCTCTGAAGTGATCCTCACTTATGGGGCTAGTATGGGGAATAATAGCAAGGCTTCAGAACATGACACAACTTTGATCTCTTCTCTGGAAAGACCAGTGATTACATCTGCCAAGGAAGAGTGATAGCAAGGAAGTTAACCAGCAAAATGACTATTTTTTGCCCCAAGCTCAAACAATTTTTTCTTACAGCCAAATGTGGACAGCATCACTTAATGGCAAGTGAAATCCAAATCTGATCCTCCCCCTGCTCTCTCTGACTTGCTTTAGATTCCATCCAAATACCTAATACCTTGTTGGTGGGTAAGCCTGCTTAAGACCTATAAATCCCCCACCATTATTTTTAAATTGTAGAAAGTAAGAAGAAATCTATAAAGCCTTGTAAAAAAGTGCAGAGCAAAGATTTGACATGTTTGGCAAATAAACTTATCTCTCAAATTTCCATACCCAGGCATATGGTCATCAATTAATAAGTGGTCTCCACTGAACACATCAAAAATTTATGATAATAATGACAAGTCAGAAATTTCCCAAGTCGTGAATGCATGTCAAGGTTCTTATGAGTTCAGATGAAGTGACTTATTACTAGTTAGAAAGAGATTGACCTATGTGGTATCAGAAAAGTTGATGAATGATCACAGAATCACCATTTTGTAGATCTGAAAGGGACTAACCTCAATGGCCTTCTCAGACAATCCATTCCTCCAAAAATAAATCCCACTACCATATCCCTGAGCAATGACCACCTCTCCTCTACTGAACAGCTCCAAAGTGTGGGAATCTACCCACTCTTGTGGCAGCCCATTCCATTTTAAGACAGTCCTCATTGGTAGGACATTTTTTCCATCACTCCATGTGATTTCACCAAATCAAATAAAAGTCTTTTAACTCTCAGTGGTTGGAATTCATTGCTTTAGTATAGATCTCTGCAGGTTCTTAGGAGCACTTAGAATGAATGTGGAAAGGAAATGAGAGGCACTAATAGTCGGAGGCAATGCTTGTTAATGCGCTAAAATGAAACCACAGTGACATAAGAAGACAACGTCGAAAGAAGTTTGTAGAAAACGCCACCATCTCAAACCATCCATCTTATAGTCAATCCATTATATGAAAAGTCAGGTGTAAAACATCAGCTACAGAATCAAAAAGAAAGAACTGACTTAGGAAGATCAACCCATCCCATGTGTGTTTTTCAAACTGTGATGTGTGCACTTCTACCCAAAATGCACCTCTCCAAATTTGACTGCTCGGCTCACACTTGACCCTCCTTTCTTTGGTCTCTAGGAGGCTTCTCCATTACCTAGCACAAAATTTAAAAGTCGGAAGAGGCTTCAGAGTTCATCCCTGCCAACCTGTACCTCAAAGGCACCCCAATTATGACATTCCCATCGGACCATCCAGCTTGCACTTAAAGCTCCCAAGGGAGGGGCTGCCTCTCCTCCTTGCTTCTCCACAGCCCATCCACTTTGGGATCACTCTCATTGTTACTAAAAAATTTCCTGAAATTGAGATTAAGCTGACCTTGTTTCAATTTCTTTGCTACTGGATCCACCCTTTGGCAGAACACACTCAAACCCTCTCCACATGACAGCCCCCTTCTAAACCACCCTTAGGACTCCCTTTTCATATCACTCACTACAGCAAAGTAGGGGGTCCCATAAATAATGCCTGATGCTCATTTAGAATTTATTTATAAGACACAATTCATAGATTTAAGGGAAAATGTTGACATCACCAAAAAGCGATTCAACTTCCGATGTCCTGTGGTTCCTACCTGTGCTCATTGTCATGAAATGAGGAAATTCTGGAAAAGTCATTTTTTTCCTTCTTTGTCTGATCATTGCAGGAAATATCATAAGGCCCATTGGCAGAAAATAATAGGAAAGCACTTGGTTAGCAAAGATGGGAACCAAGCAAACTTGGGGCACTTTTTTAATGACGAGAGGAAGGTTAGATGCTCAAAGCAGGCTTACATCTGACGGGCACTGTTGATGTTGCCAGGATCTCATCTTATTGACCCATTCAGAGCTTTAGAAGATAGAGCACCCATGGTTACCATGGCAATTGGCATGCCCACTTACCTGCTAGGACCTGGTCCAGACTAGAGAGTTTTCTGTAGATAATGCAGTTTTTCCTTTCTTCCCCTCAGTGGCGCTCTGACCCTGGGAGGGTTTATAGCCTTTCTCACACACATTCTCAAAACATCATTATTGACACATGCTGGGAAAGAAACATCAGAACCTTGGACATTGCTGCTTGAACCCAAGCCTAAGGGGCAGTCTGGTTAGGTTCTTCTTGGTGAAGCTCCCTCCCTCTAACTTCATAATGGTGGCCCCACATTAATCCTTACCTGTGCCCTGACCACAGTTTCTTTTTAGTTAGAAAAATCTCTGATCCCTCCTGAGTCCAGCTCAAGCCTTTCATTTACCCAGACTAATAGAAACTAATAACTAACATCCCTTCCTCTAGACGGGCGACTGAAGACCTGGGTGTATGGCGTGGCGGCAGGGGCCTTTGTCCTACTCATCTTTGTTGTGTCTATGATCTATCTAGCCTGGTGAGTGTCTGAATTTCCTGCCATCTCAGTAAATGGAGAAATCTTTCTCTTCCGGGGTTGGGGGAGCATGTGAGTATTTTAAAACTGGCCAGGAGACCGGCCCAACTCAAGATTACTCAGGTGGTTATTTAATGCTTACCTGGCAGGGCTATGAGTCCAAATGAAAATGCTCATGTTTGTGGTACCTACATACATTTCAAATTATCCTTGACTCATGTTGAAGGTTTGTATGTGAACTCTCTATGACGTGTGAGAATCATAATAAACTCAGTGGACATTTATAGAGCACTTAAACATTTGCAAGGGCCCCACAACAGCCATAAGATGTGAGTATTATTAACCCCATTTTACAGATAAGGAAACTGAGGCTCAGGGAGAGTCAATGACTTGTCCATGGGCACAAAGCTAGTAAGTATTAGAGGCAGAATTTGAAGCCAGGTCTTCCTGGCTTGGTCTGCTCGCTGAACTGCCTCCTGAATTCTGTGATTGCATTCCTCTATTTGTCTTATAAGGCAGGGAACTCAGTCTCTCTTTAATGATAGAACTGGAGACATGTACTAGATCCACAGCCAGAGTCAGAGAACCTTAGAGTTGAAAGGGGCCGCCATGGTCCTTGAGTGCCATTCCAGAGGCCAGCAGGAAACCTCTTTACAACATCCTCCACAAGAGCTCCTCCAACATTTGCACAAAGGTTTTTAGGAAAAGAAGACTTACCATCTCCTGAGGAAACTTGTTCTCTTTGGGGATCATTCCAACAGGGAATTTTTCTTTGCCTCGAATTTTCCCTTATAATCAGAAGACCTGAGTTCCAATTCTGGCTATGCCATTTATTATCCCTGTGACAACGGCCAAGTCACTTATGTCCAAGTCTCAGTTTCTCCATGTGTAAAATAAAGAGGTTGGACCAAACGTTCTTGAAAATCCCCGTAAGCCCTAATGCTAAGATCCCATGTCCTTGCCAAACTCTGTATGTGACCAGAACTTCATGCTTTGGGATTGATGATGAGTTTGGAATTGAGGTATTGGGTTTAAATCACATGGGAGAGCTCTGGCCTTAGAGTCAGGAGGACCTGAGTTCAAAACCAGCCTCAGACACTTGACACTTACTAGCTGTGTGACCCTGGGCAAGTCACTTGACCCCGATCGCCTCACCAAAAAGACTAAATAAATAAATCATATGAGAAGTAAGAATTTGATTTTAGAGCCATCCAGCCCTGCTCAAGCCACTTTTGTGAATGTGGAAGAGCTCATAGGGGGAGGGAGCATAGCAGAGTGGGTTACTCTCCCCATCAGTAGGAAAAGAGATCACTTTTGTCATCTATCTTTTAATTGCTTGGAGAGGTGATAACCAGGCCAAAGGTTCTGTTTCAGCAAGTATTTGGCAAGGCTTTTGGACTGGGAGGCATTGTTTGTCCCCCAAATTCCTGAACTTAGTAATTAGTTAATCAGATCTCTCCTAAAGTGTTTTCATTTTCTGCCTTGTTACAGTAAAAAGCCAAAGAAACCCCAGAGAAGGCAGAACAACCGCCTGAAACCTTTGACCTTGGCTTATGATGGCGATGCAGATATGTGAGCTTTCATTGTTATTTGCGATGACCAGCTTCTGCCTCCTGCCTTTAAAATAGGTGTCCAGAGGTCGTGAGAGTGTTCGACTTGTGTGGATAAACATGCATTTTGACCTCTCCTTTAAAATGCATCCTAGAACAGAAGAATGGACTTCCCAGTGACGGTGGGGATGCTTGCGATGGTAGTATGTCAAACTCAGCCATCAGCATGGACAATTCTGGCAGACAGCCTAATTGAAGAAACCTGACTCTGAGTGATTTCTGTCATCTTTTCTGCAAAAGCTGCCATCTGGGTCCTGTTGTAAGGATGGCACCTGATGCCAAGCTTGATCATCAGTGTTAACTAAACCATTATAACCTGTTAGCATGAAGAGTTTCTACTGAGCACTCTACCACATGCTAGATTTGAACATAATAACCTGTATAGCAACTCTGTTGACTCACACTATTACTCTGTCAGATTATATCCTTTGTAACAAGCCACTTTATGCTGGCAAAGCATAAACTCTAAACAGAGTGGATTAACCTATTGAGAAAGCCAAACAACTTGGCAGTTGATAGCAGCAGTCGTTGAACCCCATTTCAGGAGGCAGAGACTCAGTTTGAAGACATCAGTCTTGTCCTGCTCCCAAGTGTCAGCGCCAGCCAGCCATGCACATGCAGGTATCTAGAAAGACAGTGTCTTCAAAGTTAGTGTTTTTGAGTGGCTCACTTCTGGAAAATGGATTGTCTTTAGTTGACACAATAGATTTCTACTTTGCCAACTCCTCAACTTCCTGCCTGCATCTTTTTTTCTCTCTCTCTTTCTGGAAGGCACATTTTTGCACTATATTAGTGCAGCATGATATGCACTGGATGAGGCTCTATCAAAATGGCCTCTTTTCATAAGGATGATGGCACCTGGAGCTAGGAGCATCATAGAGACATTAACCAGGGAGCTAATTCACCCTGAAGAGAGTGGAGCTCCTTTGGGGCAGCAACGAAGTAGAGCTAGCACACAACTTGAGTCCATAGAGAACAGCCTCATCCTGGAGACCATTGAATAACTAAGAACATGGTGGGGATTTCATGTCGAATTTCCCCAGCTCACCTCTGAAGATGGAGTTCCCTTTGGCTGGTTTCTAATTGTATGTTGAAGGCTCTTTAAGACTAGGTTTTTTTATATTGCTATCTTTGTTTAAAAAAAAAGAAAAAGAAAAGAAAAAGTGGCAGCCCTTTTCATTCTGAGGAACCTGAAGGAACACTTGCATCGTTTTCCAAACTAGAAGAATTTTGAATTTCTTGGTGATTTTCATTCTTTGGTTTCTCTTCTCTGACATTTGGCTGCTTTTGTCTTTTTCATCAGTCCCATCTGAGGGGAGCTCTCATCACAGTGATTCAGACAACACTGACATAAAGCCGACCTGCATCTTCACTGTTCAGGGCCTCAGTAAATAGTCCGATGGTTGGGGTTTTCCAGGCTGGCCTCCCTGAGGGCCCCGTCTGTATTCCTTTTATTCTTGCCCCTATTCTACCACCCACCTTCTACGATGTGCTCAGTCAGTGTTTGCCTCATTCCTTCTTCCATGATTCCACTCTCCCCATTGGACTCAGAAGTGGCTGGGCCATGCACAAAGGCAGGGCTTGGTAGGACTGACCGTCCCTAGGCTGGGGGAAGGTGGACAGTGCTTGAGAGGGGCGCTAATGAAGCAGTACACTGGAAACATGGATCAGGCCACTCTGACTGAAAAGTCAGGTCTTTAGTGAACAAGCCAATCCATTCCATCCTCAAGAAAACCAACCAACCATGTTTCAGAGTGAGAGCTCTAGGAAGCAAGGCATCTTCCCTTCTTCCTGGAGTTGATCTTCCTCTAGTGGACATCTAGAGTACTTGACAAAGCCTGAGGATGACCTGGACGGCCAGGCAGGAACATCTTCCTCTGTCCCCACAGTGGAGTGTTCTCTATTTACATCATCAAACATTATCAGTAGAATATGTTAAGTACCTGCTTTATCCTCGCTCTGTCAGCTGCTGTAAGTCTCATGAGAGATCTGATGTTTCTGGGTAGGTAGATTTCATTTCTTCAAAGAGAGAAAAAAAAATAAAAACAGAAATCCACTTACCAGCTTTATTTATCAGAAAGGCAGGTAAAAATAAATCAATAAAGTGTTGTTATTACTCCAGGGCAGTGTTCCTAAAAGTGTACTCTCAGGGAGGCTTCCAGAATGATCTTCTGTTTGGACCCTGGCAGTACAAAAAAAAAAAACCCTTTCATTTATCCAAAATACACCCAAGGCAATAAGTTATTCTGGTTAACTGAACACCCTAGTAATAATACTAACAATAGCTGTCATTTATATAGCACTTTAAAGGTTTGTGGGGCACTCGTCTCACTGAGCCTCACTACAATCCTGTGAAGGAGGCACCATCGTGGTCTCTGTTTTGCAGATAAGGAACCCGGTTCTCCAGGAGTGAAAAGCACTTGCCTAGGGTCACACAGCTAGCACAGCTCTGTGGCAGAATTGGAGCCCAGGTCTTCTAGTTCCCAATTGCAGTGCTATCCATTAGACCATAATTCCTCTGATCCTCTGCCTGGCAGATTACTGTAGGTGACTGATGTACATCTGTGAAGGGGGCTTGGCAAGTAAGCCGCTGGGTGTGAGCATGCCACTCTGGCCACTTTCTGCTATGTAAAATTGAAGTGTTTCTGTTCATAAATTATTTAACTTACTTAGTAATTCCTGCCCACATGTTTTATAAATATTGGTCCAGATACAAGCCTTATTTTTTCCCAGAACTTTGGCTTTGATAAAACTGAATATGGCTTATAAACTTTTTATATATTTTTATATTTTTAAGTGTCTGTCTATAGCTTTTTTCCCCTTTCAAAAAAATCCTCATTGTAGAGCTGTGTGGGCCCTCCATTTGGATCAATATCATCTACATGTAGAACCAATTTTAAAATCACTGGAATCTTATAAGGAGCGCTGGCACAAAAGCTACCCAGATGATAAAGGGTTCTTTCTTTGGTAGCTCAGAAGGCTTTCTAAGATCATACAGAGCCTTAGGGAGATCCTACATAAACTCTGCTCTGAGAATCTGATGAAATTACAGACTTGCCTTCCAAAGTGCACAGGACTTATGTGAAGAGGGTGAATTCCCCTTGGCCAGGACTGGGGCAGGGCATGAGTTTGGGCTGACTGTCTTGGGGAAAGTTTTGGGGTTTTTACAGCATAGCCCTTGTTCCCACTTGGGAACTTCCATCTGGATATTTCTTAGCAGAGTGGGGTGTGACCTAGAGTCTGGGTTGGTTGGATCTTGGATAAGTGGAAGTTTATTAGACTCTGACTTAGAAGAGATCCTCTCTGTGTTTGGGGCCTGAATTCATTCATTTAGTGCTTCATTGGTGTTTCATCTGAGGCCCCCTCCTGGTTCACTTCCTTTTGGTGATTTGGAATGAGGAGGAAAGGAGGAATGGGAAGGGGGCAGCCCCACTAGGGGGCCCCCAGGACCTGGAAGGAGAGCCACTGGGCAGATACAGGAATGAGATTTTAATATTATTTAAAAACTAAACCTCAGCAGAACATTCTATGGACTTGTTGAATGGTTTCAATACAAACTGTCTAGAAGGAGGGTCCAAATGGTACAAAGTGATCCATTAATTTGTGCACTGATAACTAATCTGAGATAATGGTTAGCAGTTTAGCAGAGCCAAGCCCCTCCCCCAAATTCTGAAGTCCCTGAGGCCAATTCAACATGGGTTTCAGTCCTTAAGTGAAGCATCAGTATCCTGCCTTTCCTTCCTTTCTAACAAAGCACAAGAATGAGACATATGCTGAGATGCAGAAATCATTGGGACTTTGGGATCACATAGATGTTTGGCCATTAAAATGGGAACTTGGTAGCTCACTAAGGCCCTCAGATTTGTTTTCCTGGGCACCCCAACACTGTTCAGTTTTCAACATAACACGTGTTTTGGAAGAGGGAAGTCAGACTGCTGTGTTCCATTTTGTCACTCAGTCCTCGGGGGATCAGGTCTCTGTGGACTATCCTGGGACGTAGATCAGTTCCTTAGGTCCCAACAGGGGAGACCAAGCAGGAACCAAGATCCAGGGGTTCCATTTTGGCCATTCTTCCCCATATCTTCAGTTTTTCACAACAACTCTCTCTGTCCTTTTTCCCCCGACTCCCTCCTCCCCCACTTCTAGGCCACCCAAGTCACCACCCAATTGAATCAGGCTATGGTCCTGAAATAACCATCATTTTCCAATTTGTGTTTCACACCTTTTGCCAGAACAAACATAACCTGGGTTATAGTCCCATCTCTAATTCTGACTACCTGTACGACTTTGGCAAAGTCATTTAGTATTCCTGAGCCTCAGTTTCCACCTCTATAAAATGAGGGGGTTAGACTAAATAGTCTGTGCATTGCCTGGCAGCTCAGTATTCATAGACCTACATACATTTTTCCAATTGGCTTCAAGCAAGGAAAGCAAGAAAGAGAATTTGACCAGAGTGAAGGGTTGTGGGGGGATGGGGGGAGGGAGAGAGAGACAGAGACAGAGACAGAGAGAGACTTTATGTGTGTCAGGATGACTGAACTGCATTGTTGCCATCCTATCTTGGTCATAATCCCCTCCATCCACCACTTTCTACTATGTCAGCAGATCAATTACCACAAAAAAGTGCCATGCACTAAACCACCAGGGGTACCAGGCACCTGAACTCCTCCAGAAAGAACAATGAGCCCAGGGTGGTTTGGAGAGAGCCTGAGATCTAGAATGACTCAGCCATGTGTAATCTAGCTCTCTCGCCAGGAAAGCTATAAATGGACATAGAAACTCCTCATGAGGTCAGGGATTCTGTACCTTCTATATTCTATAAATTCACAGCTTTACCTCTGGGACCAGCCCTTCTCTAGTTCCTGAGCTCAACATTGTTGGTCCTCAAGAGAGGTAGCCTGGGGAGACCAAACCTCTCTGCAGCTTTTAGAAAACCGCCCATTGGTCTTTTCCATGCTGCATTTTGTGATTCCCTGGTTTCTTAGCATCCTTCACTGCTGAGCCCGCTGGTCACTGCTTTTCAATAAAATACTGTAATAAAAAAGCGATGTTCCCCTTGCCCCTCCCATTCTGTGGCGCCTGTGGCCACCAGAAGTGACCCACTGCATCTAAATCCATGTAAAATAGGCCTGGATCAAAAAAAGCTGAAACCTCTGTAAGTTGTAATCCTGAAGACCTCATTTTACCCAGTTAAATTTACTTGAATATTTATTTTGTAACAGATGAGGCAGCTAAGACTTTTTGTCACGGTTGATTTGTGAATTGTGTGATCACATTCTTTTTTTCCATTGTGTCTATTTCTTTCTAATGCGCAAAACATTTTCGTCCCATGGCTGCAAAGCACTCAGCTTGTCTTGTCCCTAAGCTTTATTCAGGTATTCAGAAGGCATGTGAAGATGTAAGAGGCAGTTTTACATTTTCATTTGGGCAATTTGTAAATAACTGTATTTGTTGACAAATAGAAACACGGAAACAATTTTCATTAAAATTA